CAATAACTATCCTTAAAACACCAGAGGGTTAAAATTGAAATTATTCATTTCACTTTAAGGGCTAAAATTATGAAAAGCACGTCACATCTCAAATTTTCAATTTTAAAAATACAGAAATCATTTTCAAAGCAAATCGTTTGTATTGTCACTTTTATGCCGTAAGAATAGATAAAAATTGGAGTGGTTTAGAAAAATCTTGTTTGTCGGAGTAATTAATCAGACCAAAAGAAAATAAATCTCTTCCTCAGTGTCTCAACTTGTGAAATTAAGCAGTTAACAAAAAAATTCAAGAGTCTAAATCCGAGTTTCTCCTCGATTCTTAATGAAGATGGTTGTTAAAGATTTTATTCAGTTGATAATTTCAAAGTTTTAAAAAATTAATTAAAATACATATAAACTAGTTTCAACACTAAATATAAAAAAACAAAAACAATAAAAACAGAAGTACCAAGAAATTTGAGAAAGATTCTCTTCTCTATTACTGAAGAATCAAATATTTAACTGAATTTTTAAGAAAATCTCAGACCGACACATTGATTCACAGAAGAAGAATGAAGACAACTAAAATCCTCACTGCAATCAGAAGAAAACTACCTGAGCAATTACTGAGTCCATTTTATACAAGCTAAAGACTTTAACCAAAAATTTGTAAAATCCTATTATTTTAAAAAAAAAAAAATGTTGGGGATATGCATGGCAAAACAAGCTTTTCTAAATTCCAATAGAGTTTAGTTGTTACCTTCAAGCTAACAACATTCGACAGACCTTTTCATCATTGAGTACTACCCAGAAAAAATGAAAATGATGGGGGAGATGAATAATTTAGTAATTTACAAGGAGAAGTAGCACAAACTTTGACATTTAGCTGTTGGCATTAATTATATATATAATAATAAAGAAATTGGCCAACACTATCTTTCCCGACGAAACCATTACAAACGAAAAAGGAGGATAGCTGATGTAGTAAAAAAGATCTCCATGACTAACATATCATGATTAAACTTCATAATACAATAAAACTTTGCTGAAATGAAGCACACCTTAACTTGCAGCTACCAGCCAAGAGATGACGAGCTAGCAATATTTAGTAGTGGCATGCAGGATTGTAAGTGGGATGATGTTGCAAGTCGTAACAATGTTCCTGGATTTTGGCAGCATGCGGATCTGGCAAACAGGACCAATACGGTTTCCCATTCCCGCAATTAACCGCTACACCGTTTTGAGCAGTATTTCCTATGTTAAAAGATGGTGCTTTAGCGGCTTCCGAGTCAAATAAGAACTCAACATCTTCGTCATCTGCAACTAGGCAATCAAGCATATTAGAAGCATCGCAGTACTGAGTGGTGGAGCTGTTGCTCTCCGCCGTAGAATGAGTTGCGTTGAAGAGTATGAATATCACAATAGCTAAAATCGCTATACGGAGACCTTTCATCACATTATTTTCCATGTTTTCTTCCTCAGTTCACACTCTCAATCTTCCACTTCGGTGATTCTTTTTCAAGTCAAGCGGAGTCGCTTAATATAGAAATAAAAAAATAAAATAAAAAAAAGATAGTATCCTCATGGACACGTGTAAGGAGTGGATTGGTTTCATTTGATATTGTTGTCCGAATTGATGAATGGCATATATTAAAGCTTTTTCTTCCTAAAAGTGGTGGGGTGTGAACCGTGGCCAATAAGAATCAGCGATTGTTGTCTTCGTTTGTGGAAAGTTGGGGTGGCCCCGACCTCCATGATAGCTGATAAGACATAAAGGACCAAGAGTAAGAGAATGGATGACAGACAACCTTCATTTTAATTATTATACACCACTTGAATTATTGATGGTGCATCCTGTCAATAAATAAAGACAAACGACATGTGGCCATCAATAAGGAAAGAGCAATGTTACAGTTATAAAAAAATATATATATTAAATTTATACACCGACAAATCTGACATATTTTTTTTTAATTTATAATTAATCGCCGTGAGGTGGAAAAAAAATGTACTTTTCGAGGTGGTGGGGTTTGTACAAAGAGTGCGCATGGGAACAAACTTTTGTGTAGCACAAGGCGGTGGTAAGAGGTGTGCTGTACCTGAGGGTACAAAGAGTGCTAGGGGACGGACAGACTTTTGTGTCCTTCATGGTGGGGGCAAGAGATGCAAGTTTGAAGGGTGTGGCAAGAGTGCACAAGGTAGCACTGACTTCTGTAAGGCACATGGTGGAGGGAAAAGATGCTCCTGGGGTCATCCTGGTTCAGAATATGGACCCCAAGCTACTGGTCCTTGTAGCTCATTTGCAAGGGGGAAGACGGGTCTTTGTGCGCTTCACAGTGGCCTGGTGCAGGATAAGAGGGTACAAGGTGGTGCCATTATAGGATCTATTGTACAGGATCCCAAATGTAACAAGCCTTGTAAGATGAATGAGGTTGTTACTGCTGATGACAGGAATGTGGATTCCATGATGGTGGGGAGCGTAGGAACTTCAGGAGGTGGAAGTCATTCAGATTCCAAGCATGGAGTCCCCAATGTCCCAAAATCCCATATTAAATCAAAGTCTGTTTTTGTTCCAGAAGGTAGGGTGCATGGTGGAAGTTTGATGGCAATGCTGGCAGGCAGTTCTGGTCTTGTCTCCAACAACACTGTAGGTTCACGGGGAGATTCATTCGAGACTGAGAAATCTTGCGTGATGCAGCAGAGCTGGATGTAAGTGTTTATGTCTAGCTGCTCCAGACATTTCTGTTATGGGCTCAAGTAACAGACGAGGGTTACTTGCTATTTTGTGACTTATTTGGTTTTTTTGTAAGGTATTTAAAAGATTCTAAAAATTAATTGAGGTGCATGTAAATTAATCTAGACATCTTTGTTATCTAAAAAAAATTAACTATTAAGAGAATATTTGTCTAAACTTATGAAAATTAGCTTATAAGTTAATTTGAGCTTATAGACAGCTAGTATTTATAAGTTAATTTAAGCTTATAAGTATTTAAAATTTAAATAGTTACGTGTTTGATTAAAGTACTTATAAGTGATTGATAAGTATTTGACGCGTTTAATAAAATGTGGTTTGTAAGTACATTTTATTATTAAAATAACTAAAAAATGTACTATAGTAACATAACCTGTTTAAAATATAAAAATAAGGATATATTATGAAATTTTAAAATTAAATAGAGATAATGTAAAGTAATTGAAGCTTGTTGAATTTGTGTTAATATAGAAATGAATAGAGTTGGATTATCAGACCATCTTGTGAGATAAATATCATTTGCTTTCCTTAGTTCATTATCTTTAATCACGCCGACAATTCAATCCGATTCTGTCAACGAATTGAGTTTATTTAGTTAGTGTGAGTTTTTGTATCTACAGATATGAACTTGATAAATTCTCCATTTCAATTGTTCAAAATGTTACTATTGGCCTAAGGATATATGTTAATGAGATATTAAAATTTTATAAAGAATATATTTTCAAATTATTAATACAGAGTATAAGTATTTTATTATTTAAATACCTTAAATAATGAAGGCACACTTTAGTATTCATCTTTAAGCTAAAGGTTTGAAGAATCTTAGTTCAGGGAGACAATATGATTACTAGTTTCTTTTTTTCATTGATCTCTGATCCATATATTCACTATAGCAACATCAAATAATAAAATACGCTAATAAAGGATTCGTAATCGTCTCAACTATTAAATCAGTTGTAAGAAAAGTTATAATAAAGGAAATTTTAATTTGCACCAAAATCTTCTCATGATTGCTGNATGAATTAATGTGGATTCCATGATGGTGGGGACTGTAGGAACTTCAGGAGGTGGAAGTCATCCAGATTCCAAGCATGGAGTCCCCAATGTCCCAAAATCCCATATTAAATCAAAGTCTGTTTTTGTTCCAGAAGGTAGGGTGCATGGTGGAAGTTTGATGGCAATGCTGGCAGGCAGTTCTGGTCTTGTCTCCAACAACACTGTAGGTGCACGGGGAGATTCATTCGAGACTGAGAAGTCTTGCGTGATGCCTCAGAGCTGGATGTAAGTGTTTATGTCTAGCTGCTCCAGACATTTCTGTTATGGGCTCAAGTAACAGCGAGGTTACTTACCATTTTGTGACTCTTTTGGTTTTTGTAGGGTATTTAAATGATTTCAAAAATTAATTAAGGTGTATGTAAATTAGCTTAGATATCCTGGTTATCTAAAAAAAAATTAACTATTAAGAGAATGTTTGTCTAAGCTTACGAAAATTAGCTTATAAGTTAATTTGAACTTATAAGCAGCTGGTACTTATAAGTTAATTTAAGTTTATAAGCGTTTAAAATTTAAATAGTTACGTGTTTGATTAAAATACTTATAAATGATTGATAAGTATTTGACGTGTTTGATAAAATGTGGTTTGTAAGTACATTTTATTATTAAAATAACTAAAAAATGTACTATAATAACATAACCTATTTAAAATATAAAAATAAGGATATATTATGAAATTTTAAAATTAAATAGAGATAATGTAGAGTACAAGAAGCTTGTTGAATTTGTGTTAATATAGGAATGAATAGAGTTGGATTATCAGACCATCTTGTGAGATACATATCATTTGCTTTCCTTAGTTGATTATCTTTAATCATGCCGACAATTCAATCCGATTCTGTCAACGAATTGAGTTTATTTAGTTAGTGTGAGTTTTTGTATCAATAGATATGAACTTGATAAATTCTCCATTTCAATTGTTCAAAATGTTACTATTGGCCTAAGGATATATGTTAATGAGATATTAAAATTTTATAAAGAATATATTTTCAAATTATTAATACAGAGTATAAGTATTTTATTATTTAAATACCTTAAATAATGAAGGCACACTTTAGTATTCATCTTTAAGCTAAAGGTTTGAAGAATCTTAGTTCAGGGAGACAATATGATTACTAGTTTCTTTTTTTCATTGATCTCTGATCCATATATTCACTATAGCAACATCAAATAATAAAATACGCTAATAAAGGATTCGTAATCGTCTCAACTATTAAATCAGTTGTAAGAAAAGTTATAATAAAGGAAATTTTAATTTGCACCAAAATCTTCTCATGATTGCTGGCTATAGAAAAACTATTGAAACATAATCGCTCTTATCTTGAATTCATGCTTAATTTTTACTAGGAAAAATGAAAAGCAAACTAAGGAAAGTACATCGATCCCCGACTCGATCAAGTTAGACAGCGTCATGAACAAGATCATCGCCCTCGTGGATTCATGATCTCAGAGAAGACAGCTCCAGAAACGCGTCTACCATCAGAACTTTTGGTAGAAAGACTTTGATCATCACTACTACTTGTTAATGCCACAGTACTAATGGTCTTTGATTCCAACACACGTTCACCAATGTTAACTGAACAAATCCCCGCTATTAACATCATATTCATATTTCATCAACGGAATCTCATTCTTTCCATTCTCATCCTCAGCACAAAACTTCTCATTCTTCTCTGCAGTCTCCTGTAACTGCAATGCGAACTCAAGTCCCCACACCACTTCACTCATCGATGGCCGTTCGGTTCCTTTATCATCCAAGCAGCTCATTGCTACCTCGGCGAACTTGTTCAGGCACTCAGGCGCTATCTTACCCTTCAAAAAAGGATCAACAATTTGGTCAAGCGTCCCATTGCGATGACATTGTTGCGCCCAAACAGCTAAACTCACTTGCTTCTTATCCCCTGTTCGAAGTATTGGTGGTCTAGCGCACAACACTTCAAATAACACGACACCAAATGAGTACACGTCAGATTTTTCAGTAAGCTGCTGACGTCTATAATACTCAGGATCCAAGTAACCTACACTGCCTTTCACTACTGTGCTGACGTGTGTTTGGGATATTGTAGTGGGTCCCATTTTAGACAATCCAAAATCAGACACCTTGGCCAGCCATTTTTCATCCAACAAAATATTTGTTGTCTTCACATCACGATGTATGATGACGTGCTTCGCGCCTGTGTGAAGATAATGAAGCCCGCGGGCTGCACCTATGCAAATCTCGAGCCGTTGATTCCATGGTAGAGATGGATGATCGCCTTTATAAAGATGATCACGTAGGGTCCCACGAGACATGTAATCGTACACAAGGATCATCTCGCCATTATCGTTGCAATAGCCAATGAGAGATACCAAATGAAGGTGTCTAAGGTGAGAGAGCATTTCAATCTCAGTGTTAAATTCGTTGGCTCCTTGTTGTGACCCTGGGTTCAGCCGTTTGATTGCGACTGGTGTGGACCCATCGTTAACGTAGCCTTTGTACACGTTACCAAACCCTCCAACGCCAATAATGAAAACATCATCGAAGTTGTTGGTAGCCGTTTTGATTTCAGATAGTGAAAAGTGGGTACAAAGATCAGACGGTAGAGATGAGCCGCCGGACTTAGTTGACTTGGTCGTAGAAAAAGAAAATGGGCCCCATAATGAAGCCCAAGTGCTTGAACCTGAGTCATTGACCTTCCTTGCTCGCCGGGAAATGAAAAAAAATATCAGAGAAAATAGGATAAAGCCGGATGCAACACCAGCAACGATGGCTACTATGGTTTTACGATTATTTTTGGGACTTGCTGATCGTGAATTTTTCTGGGGTACCGCTGATGGGGTGATGAGATCGTCAGGATTAAATCCGGCTAGATTTTTTTGATTGTCCTCTTTGAAGATTTCAAGGCCATTCAAGATGGCATCAGAATAGTTAGTCTTCCATCCTTCCGCTGGTTGGAGTGCAACAGAGAGATTCTGCTTCTTTAAATTTTGTTTTAATCCAATAATCACAGCGTAATCTCTGTATGTTGGACTACCTTTTCCACTCCATTCTAAGATGTCTGCTTCAGTCTCAGCAGTCTGATTTGCTATTTCGATCTCAAACACTCTATGGGCATGTTCTGTTATCTCTTCCTGAAACTCGCAAAAATGAAGCCTGATAAAATAAGTAAACCCAGAATCCACTGGAAACTCCCAGGTGAGCCAATAATTGACGTTATCCTCCTCGCTGTCTCCCATCGACATGGCTGTTTGATAGACTTCAACGGGAGCAGTGTAATTAGGTATTCCGCTGAAATGGACATCGATACTAGTGTTCTTAATAATAGCGCCCGTTCTAGCATCTGTCAAGTAGTCCAGGTAATTGCTAAACCAGGTTCGATACATGCCGGTGTCCAGTTCTGGTGAAAGTAGACGCCCCCCCAAATTTATTCTGTATACCGTCTCAAGAGCGCTGCTATTTTCAATGCTGGTTACTGGGTTCGAGGTCTGGCCAAGAAATTTTAATTTCTTACTGTCTGTTCCGGTGTAATAAAGATTGGTAGGCATGGATACTATTTCAATTCCGTTGACGAATGCGTATGCCTGTTGATAGTCTGGACTTGGAGAAAAGGTTATGTTTAACCTTTCACCTTCTTCCAAATTAAGGCAGAATTCTTTGAAAAAGGCATCTTGGCCTATGGCAGCAGCCGTAATTGAAGCACTGAAGTTGCTTAAAAGGGTAAAAGAACCTGCTTTAACAGAGAAGAAAGCTTTAGAGCTGCCAAAGTCTGGATACAAAGTTGGATAGAAATACAAGCGGATGAACTTTTGACCGGCCGTGAGATTAAATATGTATGTGAATGGCGAATAAGAAAGTCGTGCTTTCAAGAAGTACTTCTCGGAACTGCTCCTGGGTTGTTGAGGTGCTGTAGAGGCTATCGAAGCGTTGTTTTGGAGCTCAAACAGGGGGGAGTGCTGAGAGCTGTTATCTCCAAGTATGGGCCGCTTATCTTGAGAGATGAAGTTGTCAGACGAGCCACAAGCAATAATTAGGTTTTCCCTTGGCTGGTAAGGATACAGTGACTGATCGGGAACAGCTAAGACAAGGTGGTGGACGAAGGAGGAGAGGCAGAATAGAGCGAGAATTGGGTGGATTTTGGCATGGAGATATTTCCTCCAAGTGTTCTCCATTGTGTTTGTGTGTGTCATGAAAATTAGGAACTACAACCAATGTAGATTAGTATATAGATCGATCAATGATGGCCCTTCAAGCAAGAATGGCGATGGAGAAAAAAGTTTTGGCGTTTTCGCATAGACTTTGAATGCTGCCAAAGACTTCTACAAGTGGAAGAGGTAGCAGAGCGTTGTAGTGGTGTGGAAAGTAAACCCAGTTTGTCGGTCCTCGTCCGTCTCGGTAAACAACTTCAGTCCACTATAATTATTTAGTAATATTTTGGCCCTTATAGTAACATTTTAGTCTATGAGGTTAATTAATGACATGATAGTGACTAAAATAAACTGAAGTCTTATTGCAGTTATCCCCAATACAAGTGCATCCAATGGTAACTCATAAAGAATTAAATCTACTGTATTTGGAATAGATTTGAATAACCAATTTATTTATTATTTTACGATTCTTGTTATAATTTAATTTTAAAAAATCAGATTGTTATTTAAAAAAATCAACAATTTAATAAAAAAGTTTAAAACATATCCAATTAATCAAATTAGAGGATGTCAGACGTTAAGTTGTGGAAACTTAGATATCAGTTCCTTCAGTAGTTGACATTATTTTTTAACATCTATTTTTATACATGTTGCTATAAAAATATGTAATAACCAGAGGGTTTCGATTGACCCTGATGGAATCAGAACGGATATGTGCCTGTTAATAAAAATCAGTAAGGAATGAGAAAAGAGACAAAAATGAGAACACAGGACGATTTCTAGAGTGGTTCCGTGAGCTATATCTCAAACCTACGTCTACTATTTTGTCTTACTACGTTTGAGAATTAAAATTTACATATAATGTATTTTTGCCCATAACAATTTTCTAACCCCCTTATACTATTTTTTGGGGGGTTTTTATAAGAGAATTTAAAATAGGGAAGCCCGACAAATCCAAGATGGCGATCTTGCTCGATATGAATCCCGTGATTCCCATTATTGTGGCCAAAGTTGGGCTAATCGAGTGTTGATATTATCTCCTTCAAGATATTATGAGACAAGGCTTATTCTTTGACCTGTCAAAGAGCTCTTAAATAGGTCGCAGCGAGCTTTGACCACTTCCGACCTTCATGCCCTTGCGAGTTTTAGAATGCAACGAGTTTTAGATCACCTTGAGCTCTATGTTGTAGCGGCGAGCTTAATGTTGGTCAAGCTACCAAAACTTCCAAAAAACTCACGCACAACAATACATTTAAACATACATATGTGTGACTTGTAATGGAAACTATATTATTTACAAATCAAACATGTAGCCTATAGGAGTTGCAACTCTAAACCCGAAGTCACATATGTTAATTGAATGTATATGGAGGATTTTCAAAATTAGAGAGAACCAGAGGCAAAGAGGTCGAAAGACATAGAATTATGATGCTTATAGAAGTTAAAGGTTACAATACTTAATTTAAGAAGGAAAGCTATAAACTAAACCACCACTGGGTGGTCGAATAATTAACTAGGATTATTGAGTGTATTACTTAAGAGGTCTTGAGTTCGATCTACCTCAGCCCCTAAATAGGGGTGGCCACTAAAGGCTTATCGGATCCTTAAGTTCAAAGTCACAGAGAATTAGTTAAGGTGCACACAAATTGACCTAGCACCCAGATCATTAAAAAAAAAAAAAAAAAAATACTATAAACTAAAATAAACATGTGTCAAGCAAACTGGTAATAGTATCTGATGCTTTGAACTAGTCTTTTAATTAAATTAGACTTGACCTAAGGCAGCTAAGGCAAGTTCGCCGACGTAACAAGTCACAATTTATCAGTCTTTATTGGCTAGTTATATCTTACACTGTAACGAGAATCAATGGTTGACTAATGGTCACATAGTTTTGACTAGCCGAGATAGAAGGCCTGATTAATGAGAAGAAAACACACCAATATAATTTAAGATTTTCCCCACTTCTAAAATTTACACTTGAATAGTTTTTATATATTTTCGTTAATTTTATCATTTGAAAATTTAAATCAATCATTAGCTGTCAACCTCTGGATACCAACTTTTGTTGTGACAGGAGGGAAAAGATGAAGCAAATCTTTTGCCTCGCAGTACTAAAACGGTGGAGCTATTGCTCTCCGCCGTAGAATGAGTTGCGTTGAAGAGTATGAATACCACAAACTAAAATCGCTATACGGAGGCCTTTCATCACATTCTTTTCCATGTTTTCTTCTCTCACATCAATCTTCTACTTCGGTGATTCTTTTCTAGTCAAGTGAAGGTCGCTAATATAGACAAAAAAAGAAAAAAAAAGATATTATCCTCATGGACTCGTGCAAGGAGTAGATGGCTTCATTTGATACATTGTTTTCCGAATTAATGAATGGCATATATTTAAGCTTTTTCTTCCTAAAGTGGTGGGGTACGAACGTGGTCAATAAGAATCGACGATTGTTGTCTTGGTGTGTGGAAAGTTGGGGTGGCCGCGACTCCATGATAGCTGATAAGACATAAAAGAGCGACTATGAGAATGGAATTCAGACAAGCTTCATTTCAATTATTATACACCATTTGAATTATTGATGGCCATGCATACAAATTAAACCCATTTTTTTTACATTGCCGGTTGCCACCGCATGGCGAGACTTGAGAGAGAATTGAATGACTTGCATGTCATGAGTTAGAGATTTGAAATTATCTCATTTATAAAATATGATCCGAACTTGAGGGGTGAGATGCGGCGGTGTGTTTGAAAAAGTTCTTTGAGATAGCGGAAAGGCCGATTGAGATGAATGATGGGAGCCCGTTACGACACGTGGAGAGGTGAATGCCAATGATGATGATGATGACATGTTTAGTGGTTAGTTGGTCAATTAGACAGCTGTAGATCAAGGAGCACGATTAGTAGTGGTGGAAAGAGTATGACCCTACATGATGATAGTGTCTTCTCGGAAATCATGAATCCGAAAGGAAGGTAAAGTGTGTGAACTGTGAGAGTTGGACCTGGATTTAGAATTGAACTGGGCCGGATCCGTATTTGCATGTCTCTGGACCGGGTTTCTTGGGTCCTCGACCCGACAGGCCTTTTTCGCCATGGGAGAGTATAATGTGGGTTTGTATATTAATGTGATTATTTTCCTTCTAATTTAAAGAGATGTGAATCAATTTTGTATGTCACTATTCACTACATTAATAGTTTTTTAAATTGGAGATGAATTTTCAATAAGAATAAATTATTAAGGATGAGCATAGGTAAATGGTAGAATCGGAACCGTTGGATACCCACCCGGCCAAAGAGGACTGTGCGTCAAGCATATCATAGTTTGTGCGCTGGTGGGTGTGCAATTTATTTATTTATTTTTATATTTTAGGAGTATGTATTAGTGAAAAGAGGAAAACTGAAGTTTTTTCTTCGTGGGTATGCTGTTGGTTTGGGTTGTGCAAAGGAGCAAAATGTATGTGCAAAGTGTCGATGCCGTGTGAAATGTGTAGTTGGAAGGTTTGTCTGATGTTCATATATATTTATTATTTTATGATTGAATTGATTAATACGTATTATATCTAGAAAAATATGCAATTAGTTTTTGAGAATATTGTTATGCTTAAAGTATTTTGTGGGATCCTTTTTGTAGAGACCTTGCTGAAGTAGAGGCTAAGCAAAAGATGCTTGAGGAGGTTGGTTGTGTTGACTATGTTTTCTCGTCACAGTTACTATAAACTTTGTTTTTTAGTATCGGAAACAAACAGGTTTGCTGATTTTATTACAGGCTATTAAAAATGCTCGGGAAAGGGATCGGAGGACCATTTTACGTGCTGTAAGTTCCTTGATGAATGCTCTTGATGAGACAAATATATTGCTTTATTTTTGTAGGGTGGAAAAAATGCATTTCACTTGCCATAGAATATGTTTGTGGTTGACTTTATAAATTCTTTTTTTAGTACAGAACTTCCCTTTTAATGAAAATTGATTGGTAAGTTATTCATATTGCTGGTGGAAAGTTAAATTATAAAGCTCTAGTGCATTTGAGGAGATTCGAATTATCAGTACATTCAAGTTTAGAATGAATGGACATAGTTATGATATGCAGAATTGAACATGTAGATTTCAGGGGTCAATAAGAAAGAATTTTCAGTATCTTTCGGTTGCAAATTCTCAAAAAGCTGGTGAAACTTAAGAGACCGGATTATTAATTTTAGCTTTATGGAGGTGTTTGCATTATCATATCATTTTGTACTCGTGAACTTTTTTCTTGCATGTCATGAGTTAGATGATTTGAAATTATCTCATTTTATAAATAATGATCGGTTAGTTTAATATGTAATTGGAAGTGTAGTTGCGATATCTCGCTCTAATGAGAAGTACCCAAGCATTCGATGAAGTTTGTGCAAAGGATCTGCTAAAGACCGAGAACATGATGTTGAATCAATGAGCATAATAATAACAATGTTCTTGTGGGAAGCTGCAATTTTTTTGGCAATCGTGAATATTGGAGCCATTGCAATATTTTTGTGGGAAGCTGGAAATTTTTGTGGAGTCAAGGGATTTCTTTCTGCAGCAGTAGCTGTTGAACAAAAGGTCAATTACAAACCCCCAAGGGATTGGTTTGATAGTTAAGAAGATTTGCTCTCTTCATTGATTTTTTGAGTTCAAACCACCTTAAGGTCATCTATCATATTTGTGATTTATTTAGAACATTGGGCTTGTAGGATGTTCAATAAGCCCTAGAGATTAGTTGAAGTGAGCACAAACTGACTCAAACACCTCGATTACCCAAAAAAATTAATTATCCCATTAAACACGATGTGTAATAGGTCAAATTCATCTATAATACATATAAATAAGATATATATGAACTCAAGGTTTTCAGGTTCATTCAATATGATTGATTAGAAAATATAAACATAGATAAATTGAAAACAAATTAACAGGATTGACACACATACATAAGATCAATTAATTAACAGAGAGGAACAGAGAGACTGAATCAGATCAAGTTTAAGAAAAGAATGATCATCAGAGTATCTTAGGCTCTTAGCTGGTCTTTAGTTTCTTTAACTAGACTTTTCCAATCCTTTCTCGCCGTAAGGAAATCGAATCGATTTTGGGGCATTCTGACCATCTCCGCTATTCTCCCCAAAAAGTAAGGATTGAGAGGTCTCCCGCCTACCAGCCACCACTCAAAGGATAACAGAGATCCAGAACGAAAAGTAAATCAAAAGTCTCTGACAACTTTGACCAAGGTGGTTTACTTGCTTACTTCAACGGGAGAAGAGGATGTTTGTGCATGGATGGAACTAAGAGCTTAGGGGGAAGAGGTAGGACTAGACAAACAAGCCAGCCATTAGCCCTATGTAAACTAGAGTATGGAAGTGGAAGTCAATCTAGTCTGCTCTGCTCTCATCCAGCAAGCTCTCTAACACTAACTAGCACTAACCTCTCTTTAGCCTATCTGTCCTCTTCTCTTTGCTCGTTGGGGAAGGGCGGTTAGAGTGCCAAGGTAGAGATGCATGACAGGAGAAAGTCCTGAATGTCAAAGAGCTATCAGCCTTACAGGAAAATTTCGGCCGAGGATCGACCTACTGGTGGTTCTCACCTTCTCTACCAGCCACAGCCGCAATAACAGTTTCAGCAGTTGAAGGTCGGTTTCAGGCGAGAGGACTCAAGAAAAATAAAACAAGTCTATCTTGACTCAAGTCTCCGCCCTTCAGGCATTCCCTTAATGAATGAAGGGACAGGTAGTCCGGCAGGAGGGGAGGGACGAGTCAGGAAAGTCGGAAGAGAAGCTGCATCTCATGAGATTGGAAGATAGGGAGTTTTTTCAAAAAAGCCTTGATTGTGTTCAAGTAGGGAATACTAGAGAAGAAACAAGAAACCAGCTGTCTCTTATGTATGCAATTTAGTTATTAGGGATTGGGGATCACATTCTTCTGAGAAAAGAAATTTCCTTACCTACTGTCCTTTAACTAACTTGAAAGGCACAAAGATGATAAATCTTGCTCTAATAGCCGTGACCTTAAGCGGCTTTAGGGATAAGATTAAGAGTCAAAATAAAATAGAAAGACGATCACAAAATATTCTCGATCCTTAATTCGAACGAACCTGTTTTTCGAAATCCTCTCTTTTTTCAGAAGAAAGACAAACCCATTTTCCTGTATTGAATGAATTGCACCAACCTTCTCTCGATTCAATCTTAAGACTAGTTGGAGAGCTCTGAGTCCTGAGACGCAAATGAAATTTAAGTTACTATCGACCTCGTCAACCATTCAAGCAAGACTTGTTTTACGCTGGAACTTTGAACGTGTCAAAGACTTCTACAAGTAGTCTTTCATCACGCATTCTTTGCGCCAAAGGCTTGTACATTCCTTGCCACAGTTTTACTTGTAGCCTGCATTGAACGTTAATTCATACATTGACGAGGTGAAAAGCGGATTTATGAAAAAATAAAAATTTGCAGACATTCACAAGAGAAAATGACACTGCACAAACCAGGTCACAATATTTAAATTATGAAAAACACTATGCTTACTCACCACTTGTACTAACTGCCATACAACCTTTGTTAAAATTTTACATGGTACCCGTACTATGCGTATAGTACCAGTACTATGCGTTATATTTGTAAAGGATAGTAAGATGGTTAGTAAGATGGTGAGTAAGTATAGTATGGTTCTTAAATTATATAGTGAATATCTATTTTTTATTCTTTTGATATATTTTTATGTGGTTCGGATAGGGTCCTCAACGTATAACAAACCAGATAAAATATATTGTTTGTTTCTGTCTGAGCATGTATGTCTGCAAAAGGAAAATAGTTTCTTCTCTTAGTTAACCACTTTTTTCAATTCTATAATACTGTACATTATGACAATGTCCAAAACTTGCAACGAGTATCTTTATGTCAAAATCCGATTAATATCTCTTACCTCATTTTATGCTTGCTTCCACAACTACCTTGCCCTCGCCGTTCGATAACTCATTATATCCATATACTCCACTAGAGGCCATATTACTTACTTGTGGCTCCACTGACAGCTTTGCTGATCAAGATGACCGGAGTTGGTTAGGAGATAACAACTCTCAATACTTCCCCATGTTTGAACCTCAAAACAACGCATCAGTAGCCTCTGCAGCTCTGTAACAACCCAGAACCAGTTCCGAGAAATACTTCTTGCAAGCACGACTCTCTCATTCGCCATTCACATGCATATTCAACCTCACGGCCGGTCAAAAGTTTATCCGCCTGTATTTCTATCCAACTCAATATCCAAACTTTGACAGCTCTAAAGCTTCCTTCTTTGTTAAAGCGGGTTATTTTATTCTTCTAAGCAACTTCAGTGCTTTACTTTCGGCTGCTGCCATAGGCCAAGACGTCTTTTTCAAAGAGTTCAGGATTAATATTGTGGAAGAAGATCAAGGTTAAACATAACCTTCACACCAAGTACTTACTACCAAAAAGCATTTGGAACTGAAATACAACTTCTAACACCTTCTCTCACGCCCGACATGCACGGCTAGGTTCTTATCCCCGTATGAATTATAGGTGGTCTAGCACACAATACGTATACGTTTGATTTCTCGGTTTTGAATTCGTTGGCTCACTGTTGTGACCCTGGGTTTAGCCATTTGGTTGCAATTAATTGGTGTGGACTCATCGCTAATGCAACCTTTCTACTTTCTACACATTACCAAACCCTACAACGCCAATAATGAACACCATCAAAGTTGTTGGTAGCCACTTTGATCTCAGATAGTGAAAAGTGGGTACAAACATCTACAAGAATTCGGTAATTCCATTGGATTTCGACGTTTATTTTGGTCGCAGAAGATGACGAAATCACCAAATTACTGTAGATGGGACCGACTATGGTTGCAACAGTGGTTTGACTATCATGTATGGGTTTAGTTTAGCTATCATGTAACAATGATTAATATTAAATTTCATAAAGCTAAATAAATAAACCTTTTCCAACATTAAAATCTCGTTGGTGGCGATTTTATATGGATTTCTACTAAATTTTCTATATGGTAATTGTTGATGCAATAATTAATTACACAAACTAGAGTGATCCAATTGATCTTTGTGGAATCGAAACAGATGTACATGTGATTAAAGTTAGTCAACAATGTAATATGCATAAATGCAGAAAAAGTAAAGAACACAATTAAGTTTTTAAAGTGGTTCAGCATGTTATAATCTTAAACTTACGTCCACTATATTTCTTATTGCTTTGAGAATTTACAAGAAAGTAATATTATGCCTAGAACAATTTGTTAACCTTTTTCCATCGTTGAAAATTGTTTATATACAAGTTTTTTACAAAGGAAATAGCGAAATTAAAGGAATTATAATTTAGATTAAAATGCAACTCTGCTATTCTCACGATTGAGTGCTAAGATCGCATCATTATTACTGTTGATCTAATCCCTTCTAAAATATCCGGGATTTAAGCTTATTTGTGATCTGCTTGAACAACTGTCAGGATTGGTCGTGACTAGTTTATGCTAGGGCTAACTATATCTCGACGAGTTTATGTTGGGTCAAACAAGTGTTGAACCGAGTTGATTCTGAGTCGAGCTATAACCTTACGAAACTTTGACTTCTCCCAGTTTAATGGAAAAATCACAAACAACTGTAATGATTATAGTACATGTGATGAATAACATGGACACGAATTCACGCTTTTTCATATTGAGAAAGATATAAAAATATTTGTTAATATTCTGCAACAAGTTGGAGGATAAGAGGAATCATAAGCAACAATTTTTAGTGGAGAAAATGCCTCAACAAGTTGTCATCGCTTTTTGTAAAGTATCTGCCAAAGACTTCCAAGACTTTTCCAAGTCTTCGTTGGTAGTGCCCAATTTCTCCAATCATTCCTACGTTTATATTTTACTCATCTGCCTAAGCTGTAATTACCAGTGCTTCATCTTCACGACACACAGTGGAGAACACGTACAGTAAGTATCTCCATGCTAAAATCCGAGCAATTCTCACTCTATTCCATCTCTCCTTCGTCGTCTGGCACCTTGCCTACGGCGTCTTTGGTGATTTAACTTATCCTTACCATCCACAAGAAAACATACTTCTCGCTTGTGGCTCGTCTGGCAGCTTCGTCTCTGAAGATCAAACACGGACATGGCTCGGAGATAATAGCTCTCAGTACTTCCCCCTGTTTGAACCCCAAAATAACGCTTCGATAGTCTCTACAGCACCTCAACAACCCAACAGCAGTTCCGAGAAATACTTCTTGAAAGCACGACTCTCTTATTCGCCATTCATATATATATTCAATCTCACGGCGGGTCAAAAGTTCATCCGCTTGTATTTCTATCCAACTTCGTATCCAGATTTTGACAGCTCTAAAGTTTTGTGCTCTGTTAAAGCGGGTTCTTTTACTCTTCTAGGCAACTTCAGTGCTTTACATTCGGCTGCTGCCATAGGCCAAGACGTCTTTTTCAAAGAGTTCTGCATTGATATTGTGGAAGAAGATCAGAGGTTAAACATAACCTTCACACCAAGTACTTACTACCACAAAGCATTTGCTTTCATCAATGGAATTGAAATACTATCCATGCCGATTGATCTTTATTACACCCCAGCCCATAAGCGATTCAAATATCTTGGCCAGGTGAATAGCTATTACAGCATTGAAAATAGCAGTGCCCTTGAGACGGTTTACCGATTAAATGTGGGTGGGAGTCTTTTGCCACCCGTAGAAGACACTGGCATGTTTCGACTCTGGTTTGGCAATGACAATGACTACTTGACAGATGTTAGACGAGTCATTTCTCTCTTTAACATGACTTTTGATCTCAATTTCCGCGAGGAAGGCAACTATACCGCTCCAAGTCTAGTCTATCGAACAGCCAGATCGATCATAACGGACAAGAAAAACAACCAGAATTATGATCTCACTTGGGAGTTTCCAGTGGATTCTGGGTTTACGTATTTTGTTAGGCTTCATTTTTGCGAGTTTTGGGTAGAGATAATTGGAGCCGGTAATAGATCGTTCGAGATCCATATAGCTGAAACTAAGGCAGACATAATTGAATGGAGTGGTGGAATTGGTGTACCCTATTACAAAGATTACGCTGTGATAATAGAATCAGAAGAAATTGGAAAGAAGCGGAATCTCTCTATTGCACTACTCCCAGCCCTTCAACAGAAGACAAAATATTCTGATCCCCTCTTGAACGGGATTGAAATTTTAAAAGTGGACAATAAAGGAAATCTCGCGGGACCTAATCCTGGTGCTCAGATCAACAGCCCACAGGTCATGTCAACAAGTCCAAAATCAACAAAACCCAAGATTAGTATAATTTCAGTCATTGGTATTGTTGTATCCAGCTTTGTCTTCGTACTCTCTATTGCAGTTTTATTCATTTTTCGGCGTAAATGGAAAACAAAAAGCTCAGTTTCCGTTCCAATTTCTTTTCCTATGAACAAGTCAAGCCAGCCCTGCGGCTCATCTCAATTACCATCTTATCTTTCTTCATACTTTTCTCTATCTGAAATCAAAGTGGCTACAAACAACTTCTACGATATTCTAATTATCGGGAATGGCGGATTTGGTAACGTGTACAAAGGCTGGCTTATTAATAATGAGGCCACTCCTGTTGCAATCAAACGGCAAAATCCAGGGTCACAACAGGGTGCCCTGGAATTTACAACAGAGATTGAAATGCTCTCCCAGCTCAGACACCGTCATTTGGTCTCTCTAATTGGTTATTGCGACGACGGTGGTGAAATGATCCTTGTATACAATTACATGGCTTGTGGAACCCTACGAGATCATCTCTATAACACCGATAATCCCCCTCTTCCATGGAATCAACGGCTTTAGATTTGCATAGGTGCAGCACGTGGGCTTCATTATCTTCATACTGGCGCGAAGCACACTATCATTCATCGTGATGTGAAGACAACAAATATTTTGTTAGATGAGAGATGGGTGGCCAAGGTTTCAGATTTCGGATTGTCCAAAATAGGACCCTCTAGCATGTCCCAAACTCATGTTAGTACAATGGTGAAAGGCACTTTCGGATATTTAGATCCCGAGTACTTTCTTTTTCAGGAGCTGACAGAAAAATCTGATGTGTACTCATTCGGTGTAGTGTTGTTTGAAGTTTTGTGTGCTAGACCACTTGTACTTCGAGCGCTGGATAGGAAGCAAGCGAGTTTGGCTGTTTGGGCCCAAGATTGTTATAACAATGGAACATTTGATCAGATTGTTGATCCATTTTTGAAGGATAATATAGGACCTGAGAGTCTGAAGAAATTTGGTGAAGTAGCAGTGAGCTGCTTGCATGATATAAGACAAACGACCATCAGAGTGAAGTGGTATATGGACTTGAGTTTGCATTGCAGCTTCAGAAAAGTGAGGAGAAGGATGACAAAGTTGGTGAGATTGATAAGGGGAAAATCCTGTTGAGAACTATGTAGGGTGAGCACGGGTAGCGGGTAGAACCGGAACGGGGTAAGAACCGGAACCGGACCGAACCTACCGAACCTGCACTGTGCGGGTAGGTTCCGGTTCCAATTTTTTGGAACCGCTACTGTGGCGTTCCGGTTCCGGTTCTTACCCCCGAAGGAACCGGAACCGGAACCGAACCTTTAAAAAGGTACCCTGTTTGGAACCTGTAGGGGGTACCCTGTTTGGAACCTGTTGGGAACCTGTTTTGGAACCTGTTTGAAACCTGTTTGGAACCTGTTTGAACCTGTTTTGGAACCTGTTTTGGAACCTGTTTGGAACCTGTTTTGGAACCTATATTGGAACCTGTTTAGAACCTTTTTGGAATCTGGACTATAATGAATATTTGTGAAATGTAAATAATGGGGAGTTTCTATTATTTTACATATAAAAAAATTAAAATAGAAAAAGTTAAATTTTTAGAATAACCTAATTAAATAAATACGAATACAATTATACTTATTACATATAAATTACACCATATTAAAAGCTTTAATATATTAATACATTAATATTAAAGTTTTGATCAATTAAGTGAATAATTGGAATTATGATCCATTAAAAGTGTTTTAAATTTTAATGTTATTAAAAGATATTTTTGAATAAAATAGTATATTTGATTGAGTAATAATATATTTAGTTATTACTTCAATTATCAGTTCTAAGTATATCTTAATAAATTAGTAATTCATTATTATATATGATAAATTGATAAACATTAATAAATTTAATTACTAGTTAAATATCATACTTAATCAATTATAACATTACATTATAGTTATGATTACTTAATTAATTATAATTTTATAACATTACTTAATTGATTTATAGTATAATTAATTATAGCATTACATTAATTGATTACTACTTAATTAATTGACTTTATTATAAACATTAGTACAAACTTAATTAAATGATTAAAAATTTAATTAATTATAATATACATTAAAAATTTATAGTATGATTATTTAATAGTTAATTCACTATAACATTACATATAGTATGATTATATAATTAATTATAACATACATAATTAAATAATTACTTAATTGATTATGAGTTATGATATTATGTTTTAAACATTAGTAATTACTAATTTGCTACATAATATTAGCACAATACTTAATTGAATGATAAGAATTTAATTAATTATAACATTACCTATAAACATTTCATTATAAACATTAATTAAACATTACATTATAGTTAAATAATTCATATTTATTCATATTATATATATTAATTATAATTACATTTATTAATAATTACTATAATTAAATTATAATATTATATATTACTATATATATGATCACTTACTTAATTATAGCATTACATTGTTAAATGATTCATAATTACATAATTAGTTATGAATTTATAACATTACATCATAAACATTAGTAATTTACTAATTTATTATATTATACTTACTTAATTAACGATTAAAAATTAATTAATTATAACATTACCTTATATTTATAATAATTACTTATCAATTAAACATTCTATTATAAACATTAGTCTATTAATCAAATGATTTAAATTTAATTAATTATAATATAAATTATAGTTATAGTATAATTATTTAATTCATTATAACATTACATTATACTATTATTATGATCATATAAGTAATATAACATTACATAATTAAATAATTACTTAATTGATTATGAGTTATGATATTATATTTTAAACATGAGTAATTACTAATTTACTATATACATTAGCACAATACTTAATTGAATGATAAGAAATTTAATTAATTATAACATTATTTATAAACATTTCATTATAAACATTAATTAAGCATTACATTATAGTTAAATAATTACTCAATTAAATTTAATATTACATTATATTATGATTACTTACTTAATTATAGCATTATATAGTTAAATGATTACATAATTACTTAGTTGTTATGAATTTATAACATTACATTATAAACATTAGTAATTTACATACTATTACATTACTTAATTAAACGATTAAAATTTAATTAATTATAACATTACTTTATAATTTTAATATGATTACTTAATCAATTATATCATTCCATTATAAACATTAGTATATTAATTAAATGATTTGAAATTTAATTAATTATAATATTAAATTATAGATTTGTATATGATTACTTAATTCATTATAACATTACATTATACTATTTAAGTATGATCATTAATAATATAACATTACATAATTAAATAATTACTTAATGATTATGAGTTGATATTATATTTAAACATTAGTAATTACAATTTACTACATAAACATTAGCACACATACTTAATTAAATGATAAAATTTAATTAATTATAACATTACCTTATAAACATTAATTAGCATTACATTATAGTTAAATAATTACTCAATTATTAAATATATTATATTACATTATATTATGATCACTTACTTAATTATAACATTATATAGTTAAATGATTACATATTACTTAATTAGTTATGAATTTATAACATTACATTATAAACATTAGTAATCTACTATACTATTACATTACTTAATTAACGATTAAAAATTTAATTAATTATAATATTACTTTATATATTTGTAATATGATTACTTAATCAATTATAACATTCTATTATAAACATTAGTATATTAATTAAATGATTTGAAATTTAATTAATTATAATATTAAATAGATTTGTAGTATGATTACTTAATTCATTATACATTACATTATACTATTATAGTATGATCATATAATTAATAACATTACATAATTAAATGATTACTTAATTGTATGACATATATTATAACATTAGTAATTTACTAATTTGCACAATATTTAATCGAATTATTATAATTTTATTAATTATAACATTATATTATAAATTTATGGTAGATTATTTATTAATTATAACATTCATTATAAACAATATTATAATACTTAATTAAATGATTAACAATTTAATTAATTATAATATTACATTATAATTAAATAATATATTACTTAATTAATTATACATTACAATGTTACATTGTAGTATGATCACTTATTTAATTATAACATTACTTGTTTCTAATATTAAATTTACTAAATTATATTTGGTATATTATAAATACCCAATTAACCAATTATAACATTAAATTAATAAATTTATAAACATTAATAATTTATTAACTTATCAAATAGACCCCTGGCAAATGGCAATGTTAGTAATTAGTATTAAGAATTGTTGTTTATTTAAATGATTTTGGTGAAGTTATTTTATGTGAATTGTGATGAATAATTGTTTGTGTTTTGGTTTTGATTGACGAATATTATGTGAATTGTGATGAATTGATTGAATTCAAGTGTTGCTTAGAGATTACAGGTTATGAGTTACATTGGACACAAATGAATGAATAACGAAAATTTGTTAGGGGTGTATTTGTAAACTTATAAGGTGTTTTTGTTATTTTTTAAACTAATAGGTGGGTAATTGATTTTTTACAGGGTACCCTGGAAAGGAACCGGAACCTGCATTTTAGGTTCCGGTTCCTTGAATTGAAGAACCTGTACTGTGCGGTTCCGGTTCTGGTTCCTTTTTTTGGGAACCTGTACTGTGCGGTTCCGGTTCCGGTTCTCCGGAAAAGTGCAGGGTACCCAGAACCGCTCACCCCTAGAACTATGGAACTGATGATGATAGCGATCTTTTGTTCACCGATTATTTGGAATTTTAAAGACCGATCAATCTGTAACCATAGCAACTCGTTATTATCAAAGTTTTTCTATCAAATGTACATGTCTCGATTAATTGATCTGTGTTCGCTGTATTATGCGAACTTTTTTTTTTTTTAATTGTGGGTAATCAGATCAATTTGTCTACACCTCAACTATTTTCTCAAGAGACTTTAAAATTATTGACCGAATAAGAGCTTCAGTGATCACTTTTATTAGTAACTAAATGGACTTGAATTTAGAAGACTATGTTAGGTTCTCTTCTTGTTCGTTTATCGAAAAAGAACTCAAATTAGAATTTTGTTTACTCTTTTATCATCGTGCTACCAGTGGTGATTAATTCATTTTCACTCTTACGCAAGTTTAAATGTAAACTCCCATTGTCATATAAAAACTTTTATTTTGGTATATGGTGGAGTACTGGAGACTACGGAATATTATTTGAAATTCTTGTTTCCTTTATAAATTTAAATTTTTAGTTATTTTTCTATTCAACTCAAATATTTCCCAGGGAAGTTTGATTACAAATGAGTAGTGCAAAATTCTTAAATTATATCGATACCTTTTTTTATTCTTACCGATTAGTAGAATTTTATCTCAACTATTAGTCAAAACAATGTGACCACCATTGATGATTCTGACACAGTTTAAGACAGTAATTACCTAGCAGACTAGCGTAGATAACCATTGATGACTTGACTTGTGCAGCATTTAATATAGGGCGAGAATGTTAGGTGACTAAGAATATTAGATTAGTTTGAACATTATTAAAAATTTTTATTAAAAATTTTTAGGAAAATATATTTGGTTAGTTAGTGGGTATATTATATTAATATATTTGATTATAGAGAATAAATTGATAGGTATGTTATTTAAATTATTAAATTGTTCATTTCAAATATTAATATAATATTATTTTTATTATTAATTTTTAAATAATTTCTTTTAACTCCCAATATTTCAGATTTAGTTAAAATATCCTGCTTATATAAAACTTTAATTTATTATAAAATCACCCTCACCTCCTGTCGCCATCGCAAACCATCGACGGAAGTCTCTGAAAGTACCTGTCAGTTGCTCCCCATGACCAAGAGGCTCCGATATGACCATTTTTGGCCATATTAATGGCTGAAAACCGCCATATCAGGACAGATCTAGTATTCTGACCATTTTCGGCCAAATCTATTATAGTCAGATCTCGCCCAGATCTGGCCGTTAATGGCCAGGGATCTGGCTGTTAACGGTCAGATCTAGCCTGATATGGACTTTTTCGGCCATCAATATGGCCAGAAATTGCCATATCGAAGCCTCCTGGAGCCTTCCACCGAATCTCGTTCGTTTTTAAGGACTTCGTCGACTTTTCGGTGGAGGTCCTTGGTGGTTGGCCGTTGTCGATGGTGGTGGCTAGGTGGCAATGGTGGTGGTGCCTGAGTGGCAATGATGGTCTGTAAATTTTTTTAAATATAAAGACATTATTGTCCAAAATTTTAGTTAGACAAGGGTAAAATTGAAATAGGATATTAATGTAAATTTATTTTAAAATGAGGGCATTATTGTCTAAAATTTTTATTAATAAAAAATAAAATTATAACAAAAAAAATATAACTCTGGTAATCTTAGAATATCTAAGAAAATAAAGGTAATCAGATTACCTCTAATATTATCAATAATAACTATTATTAGTATTTAAAAATTATCGAAATCTTATATTACTTAACAACTAAACGTGATAATCAAATAATATTAAGATGGCATTCCCCCAATAATCTCACATTATCGCCAACTAAACGCTTCCTAATGGTCATCTTCTAAAGCTGGAGGTCATGAGTCATAGGTGTCAAGTCACAAGACACATTTACTCTTCTCTATTATTTCGATTATCCTCCATTGTTTTTACTCAATTATCCGGCGAGCAAGAGAAGTCAAGGTCCCAAGGACTCAGATTCCAGCACTAAAGGGGCGTCATTCTGAGCCCCATTTTCTTCATCCACGACCAAGTCAACCAAAGTCTCGTAGCTCATCTGTACCGTCCAATCTTTGTATCCACTTTTCACTCTCTGCAATTAAAGCGACTGTCAATCAATCATTATTGTAGTGTGTGGATAGCTCTCAGATCATGGACAAGAAAAATAAGTTATATGCTGACCATAAAAGCAAAAAAAGAAAAGAAGGTTTGGCATTTCTGCAGAAGACTTTGAATGCTGCCAAAGACTTCTTCAAGTCACGTCATGCACTGATATGTAGTTATCTATGCTAGATTTTCAGAACGAGAAAGTCGGGCTGTCAAGTAGATTTTGACATTTTGTCGATGATGCTGAATGATGGTGGAGATTGAGAGATTGTTGATTCGGCATATTTTGGTAATTCTGTGTGGAAGTATTCAGATTTATCAATATCTCCAATCCAGGTCTCGTCCTGCGGAATTATGGTGCCAAGCGAACCACAATTAAGAGGTATGCTTGTTGGAGGCTTTGGAGCCGGTGAATCGCCTGAAACGGCAGTGGAAATAAGGTAGTTCAGGAAGAAGATATAGAATGAGGTGAAAGGAACAGATAGGATTTTTGAATGAAGATACTTGTTGCAAGTGTCCTCTATTGTTACATTCAAATGATAATATATAGAGGAACTGAAAGCTAAGAGAAGCTGCTATTTATGCTGCAAGAGATAAAACATAACAAGAACAATGAATAATATATTTTATTTGTTTTGAAAATAAATAAATAAATAAAAAAGTTGGACTCAACCCAATAATACATGTGTTACTATTATTGTAAGTTTTTCATTTAACAACCGTCAACTACAGTATAATGTCTAATAAATGAATTATCCAATTATTAAAAATTAAATGAGGTCCACCGGTTATGTGTCACTAGCACTGGTCCCTAATTCCCTATCAATGGGCCACATCCCGGTCTCCCACTATCGCAAGCTGACAATCGACAACACCTAGCCTCCATTGTTGAAGAGGTTCTCTTTATTATAATTTGATATCGTGATTTTGACTTATGAATAACCAAGTCAATCATAAGAGTATAGCCGTTCATTTGTTATCCATTTAAGTTTCAGCTTTCTTCATAGGTTGTCCCTGTTTATTAACACCCCGTTCCATTCCAAACAAGCTTAAAGAAATTGTGTTGATAAAGAAAGAAATCAATTAAAGTGATGGGAAGTACTGGATCGAACCGACGATGCTTCAGGTTTCCTTTTGCAGCCTTATTGATGATCTTATTCATCACCACTAACATGTCGAGAGCGGTCGCTTTTGATGTTATCAACAAGAATATTACCTCATTCAGTGTTTCAATCGGTGATGGAGAAGAAGAAGAAGAGCTCTTGATGGAATCCGAAGTGAGTCGAAGGCTTCTTGCAGGCTCCGGGGTGGGACATATTTCTTATGACGGTTTGAACAAGCCAGCAGTTTGTAATGCAAAAATTTATGGCAATTGCATTAAGCCCCTTAGTGGGGATAATCGCCCTTGCACTTACTACAATCGTTGCAAGCGTGGAAGCAGCTAACTGGTTATGAATGTTTGAGGGATCGCAGAAGGCCATGAAGTTTTCAATGAAGCACTAAATAATCCTGTGTTTTATAGTGCACAGATGATAAATACGTGTGTAAGTTCCCAGAAATTGAAGATCAAGAGAAATGTATAATTGATGAATATTTACTTTGTAATTTACAGTAACTGTGAGATGTTTGTTTGTAATATTTTTTTCTCCACTCTTTGTTATAATATTATTTCCCTTCAAACTAAAGTAAGATCGGAAGCAGCTCCATGTCAAAATTCTATACAGAGGATCACGAAAAGACAAACGATGAATTAGGCATAATGAACCTGCACCTTAAACATAGTTAATGCACCTTCATTAACCCTTAAAGAGAGTCATTGTATATCAACATTTTAAGAATTCTTTGGGTAATACAGATGAAATATACAGGGTAATTAAAATTTCTTCTTTTTAAGTAGTTGTAGTCTAGATAAATCTGGATCAGAAAATATTGAGCTTTACAAAAAGCTTGGCAACCATCTTCCGTTTCCTAGAAGGTAGAAATTTCAACACGCTGAATTTTCAATTACGTCAGAACTTGACAGATTTGGCTGCAAATCGTATGGACCCTCTTTCAGCCTCGCTGTATATTCTACTCCGCTATCATTGAAATTGCTTGGAGATTATTCACGATTGGCCCGACTTAAAGTTAATTATGTAATGCTCTCAAATTGACCAAAGACTCTTAGCCTGAAAACGAAACTGACTGGATTATCAATTTATGCCACTAGTAACATTTACTGAGCTTCAAAATTTTCTCAACATTCGGTCCAGCTCTGAATTTTAACCTGATCATGTTCACCTCCATTCTTGACCTTTTCCCTCTCCTCTGTCTCCTCCTCTCTGCGAGGGCCACTGCCGAAAACTCTCCTCCATATGTTCCTACTGATACTATATTTCTCAACTGTGGAGAATCGCCAAACACCGCACACAAAATTGATGGGAAGAACTGGGATGGCGATGAACACTCCAAATTCTATCCCTCCAACTCCGGAACCAACTCCTTTGTATCCAGAGCACCTTACCAAGATCAATCTGTTCCCGCAGTCCCTTACATGACAGCACGTATCATTCGCTCCAATTTCACCTACACCTTACCCGTCTCTGCCGGACAAAAATTCCTCCGCCTATACTTCTATCCCGTTCCATACTCTGGCCTTGATATAACCACTTCCTTCTTCTCCGTCTCCGCAAATAATTACACTCTTTTAAACAACTTCAGCGCCTATCTCACTGTTTCCGCCATGGATCCTCCTGTTGCCGCCATGATTAAAGAATTTGTCATCACCATTTCGGAAGAGCAAATATTGTACCTAAACTTCAATCCATCTCCAAGCTCATTGGCGTTCATCAACGGTATTGAGGTAGTTTCGATGCCAGAAAATTTATATGTCAAACAAAATGATATCCCTATCACTTTTGTTAACAACAGATGTACGTTCTTCTATTTCGATCAACCTGTCGCTCTCGAAACAGCTTACAGGCTAAACGTTGGAGGTCTACATGTTTCCAGCGCCCAAGATACCGGCATGTTTAGGGATTGGAATAGCGATTTGGATTACATAGATCCCCAAGTTCGTGGTACCACGCCTTTTCTGTCTAATGCTACAATAAAATACACCTCAGACACTCCGGCATACGTTGCACCGACGATTGTCTACACCACTTCCCGTACAATGTATCCTGATTCTAATGTCAGCAAGAATTATAATCTTACATGGATCTTCTTAGTTGATCCGGGGTTCAATTATCTTGTTAGACTCCATTTTTGCGAGACCATGAAGGAGATCACTCGAGAAAATCAACGAGTGTTTTCTATATTCATCAATAATCAGACCGCGTGTGACGATGCGGATATAATCCACTGGGCTGGCGGTTCCGGGATTCCGGTATACAAGGACTTCGTCGTGTTAGTTCCAGCTCAAAACACTGGTAAGCAAGTCTTCTGGCTCGCCTTGCACCCCATGTTGGACCTGGATCCATTACCAAAGTACGCCAATGCTATCTTGAATGGTCTAGAGATTTTCAAATTAAACAACTCTAATGGCAATCTTGCTGGACCAAACCCTGATTGGAAGCCGAAGCCTAATCCACAACAACCGCAGCCACGTTCACCGGAGAGAGCAAAGAATATAAGGAGGTTACTAATTGTTATTATTATTGCGGCTGTGTTTATTGTTGCTTTTTCATTTTCACTTCTGTGTTTCATCGTTTTACGGCGGAAGTGGAAGGGAGGTAAAGAATCTGCTTCTGGGACTACTAAACAGACCAAATCATCATGGGGTCCAATCTCTTACACCAAAACCTCCGTAAATACCAACGCTTCGTCACTACCTTCCGATATCTGCCGCCGATTTTCAATCGTTGAAATCAAAGAGGCCACATCCGATTTCGATGACCAATATATAATTGGCTCGGGAGGATTTGGCCAAGTGTATAAAGGATATATCGATGATGGGTCCACAGCAGTGGCGATCAAACGGTTGAATTCATCATCCAATCAAGGAATCCACGAGTTTCACACGGAGATTGAGATGATCTCAAAAGTTCGCCACCTTCATATCGTCTCTCTGATAGGTTACTGTGTTGATTTCGGCGAAATGATTCTTGTTTACGAGTACATGTCACGCGGCAACCTCAGAGATCATCTCTACAAAACCAAGAACCCTCCTTTGCCATGGAGTCGCCATGAAAACATACGTATGCATTAATTGTGCATTAAGAAGTAGTTTGAGAAAAAGTAGAGAACTGTTGTGAATGATGCTATTTAAAAGTAAAGATGAATGAGAAAAAATCTAGAATGGGTTGCTGCTTTGTAAACTCCACCCGGGAAGTCACGAAGCTAGTGGGTTGGTGCTTTGTGAACTCCACCCGCCGTGCTCGTAAGATGAGGCCGTGACATCAAGTGAGAAAGATGAGAAAATATGAGAAAGAAAGAGGAAAGAATGAGTAGAAGTCACAAAGAGCGAGTGGTGCTTTGTGATCTCACTCAGCCGCTGCCTCCAGTAAGATGGGCTATGACATAAACAAAAAGTTAATAGAAAGAGAGCTATGTGAAAGAGAAACAGAAAAAGAAATAAAGGAGAGGAGAAGAGTGTAAGGAAGAATTAAGAGAAAGAGTTACGGGATAGCGAGTAGAGGATTTACTTACTGAGCATTTTTTGTGCTCACCCCGTTGTTAATCTTTGTGTTTGCAGGATCAGGTGAGGACGCGGTCGGATGGGCATTGGCAAGCGAGGAGCAATAGCTACACTATCCACTGTTTTTGTGTAACTTTTAAAAATGATACCTTACTTTGTATAAAGAATGATTATATGTATTAAAAGAAATTTCGGGCCATTTACTTTTGCTAATATAATGCATTTTACTTTATGTATTCTATGAGTAACCTAGTATGAAGCAGTATTACATTTTGGTATCAGAGCCGAGATTTTAGGATTTGACAGTGTACTATGCCCATCGCTCCGATGTCCGAACCGACTGTGTGAGTTAATTCTTTCCTTACTATAATGTTTCTCGAATTGATTAAATGTGGTTGTTTTGTAGATGAGGCGTAATACCCGAAAGCGTGGTAAAAGTGTGATAAATGAGGGAACCTTCTAACCCACCAGAAGGTGCCCCCCCTCCCTTGGATGAGATAGAATTCGGGGAATTGTACAACAAGTTATGGCAAAAAGCCAAGGGAGGTTGGGACCCCCTTACAGGTACACAACCAACTAATGTAGAAGAGAACAACCGGTACCTCCCCTAGTACAGAATAGAGTTGAACCGATTTATGGTCTTCCCAATCAACATCACCTTCAAGTTTAAGGGTACTACGGACCCGGTAGTAGCAGAAGAATGGTTTAGATCAGTAAAGTACCACAGCTTGTTTCCCATGACAGACCGGAGAAGATCCGATATTGTAGTTTCTCATTTCGGGGTGATGCCCGAATATGGTGGGAATTAATAAAAGAATTTATCAGCTTGCAGCAGGAGACTAGTACCGTGAAAGAGTACTCAGTGAAATTCAACTCCCTTGCAAGATTTGCACCTGGAATAGTGAGTACCCCAGCATTGAGAAGAGACGTTTGTACATGGGTTGAAGCGGAGATAGCTCGGGATAATGACAGAGTTCTGATCCCCCTCGAACTTATAGTGAGGCATTGAGGCGACAATGAGGGCGAAAATATTTGAGACAAAATTCCCCCAGTAGGTTCCTCGACAAGGGACCAAGTGAGCCATCTTCCGCCCTGTAGAGAGAGAAATTTGAAGGTGTAAAAGGCAAAGAAATGAAGAATAATAAGAAGAAGTTTCAGTCTAGCCAGAATAAAGAGATTGAGGATGTAGCGGCCTAGGACGGAAGGATTCTCTTTGCTCTAAATGTGGGAGGAACACCCAGGAGAGTGTCTGAGGGACCGAGGGTGTGTTATCATCAACTGTCGTCGAAAGCGAAGACGACACACATCAGACGTTTGGGCGCATTTCGACAAGTTTTACGAGACAGAAAATGGCGCTCAAGTCAAGAAAGCAAGATGCAAATATTGTGCAAATGTTTATAAAGCTGATTCAGGTAATGGTACTAGTACTTTAAAAGGCATGCTATAAACATATTAATCAACATGGAAATGAGAAAGTAATCAACTCAAATACTAATATGGGTACTACTTGGCGTTATAATTCTGGATGTTATAGGGACAGTTAGCTTTATTTATTGCTGCAGCTGTACAACCTATTAATATGGCGAAGATAAATATTTGAAAGATTTGTTCAAATTCATTTTTTCCAGGATTTAAAAGTTATTCTAAAACTGCAACTAGAAATGATTTATATAAATTAAAATGTTTTTAAAAAATGAAATTAGAATAAAAAATAAATTTCATACTTGTCATATTAGTGTGGCCTAACTGCCGATATTTGAGTGGTAGAGCTAACAAAAATTATATTTGTGTTACTAGTCATTATTTTGATAATGAATTAATTAAATAAACTTTTATTAGGATTTAGATTAAGGTGTGGATCATAGTGGTTTAGAAATCTATAATAAAATTGTTGAAGTTTTAGAAGATTATGATATTATGATAAAATGATAAGTTTAACTTAGATAATGCAAGTTCTAATAGTAAAGCTATAGATTTTTTCAAACTAATTATCCTTATATAACAATTTGAAGTTTTTTTCACCAACGTTGTGCTGTCATGTTATTAATTTAATTGTGAAAAGTGGTATGAAAATTAAAAAATATTGATAGAATTAGGGAATCTTTAGCTTGGATTACTGGTAGTATAAAAAGAATGCTGAATTTCAAGAAGCTTGTATAAATCAAATAGTCTCCTAGAACTTTTGCATTAGATATGCCTGTTAGATGGAATAGTACTTATTTAATGCTGATTCATGTTTACTTTATGCTATATAATTAGTATTTTGTAGCAAATAATAGAGGTCCTCATTATTTGGTTGAAAATGATTGGAAGATAGCTAAAGTATTTCATTCTTTTCTCAAATGTTTTTACCAATCTACTTTACAACTTTCGGTGTGTATTATCCTACTAGTCCGTTGGTAATACATACAATTAAAAATTTCTGATTATTTACAAAAAACAGAGACAATGAATTTTAAATGGACCAATAAAGGCAATGAAAAAAATTTTTTGAAATATTGGGAACCATTCCTTTTCTTTATTGTTTTATGTGCATATTTGATCCTAGAATAAATTAGCACGTTTAGAAAATGGTTTTGACAATTTAAGTGAAAATTTACAAACCGAATCATTGTCAATCAAATAGGAGAGGTAAAAAATAGTCTTTTCGAAGTATATTCCAATATGAAAACAGGTATGGGAACCCGCAGTCGAAGAAGCGAAATATCCAGAGAAGTTGTAGCAGAGAAATAGCAAATGAGACTTATACTCTTGGAATGCACTGAATAGGCCGAAGAGGACCCGAATCCGAAGCACAGCCGCAGCCTCCTCTTCAGAAGCACCACCACCAACAACAACAAACAACTAACTACTGTCCTCCATGGAGTTGCAGAGTAATGAACTTCAAAAATATTTGGCAACCCCCGAAATGTTTTCAACAGGTCACTTTGATATCTTAGAGTATTGGAGAGCAGAAAATGTATTTTTCCGGTATTATCAGACTTGCCTTGGATGTTTCGCTGTTCCTGTCTCAACGTCTCACACAAAAACATTTAGTGCAAGTGGAAGGATTTTAAATGAAGGAGGACTAAACTTGCTCAAAATGATTGAAGTCCTCACATGTCTTCGAGATTGGGAACGATCGCGCCATCAAGATCAATACGAGGTTATCGACAATACTTTAGTAGAATCGTTTCAATTTTGTAAATAGATGATCAGATGAGGAAGTCCTAGTGAACCACCCCCCAAATTAGTTTTGAAAATGTAATTTGTAAATTAATTGTCAATTATTGCACTCTTTTTTCTTTACCAAGTTTTTCTCCCATTGGGTTTTTCTTGGTTAGTTTTTAACGAGGCAATAATTGTTATAATTTTTTATTTATTTTTGATAAATGAATAATTTTCTTATATTATAATTTTATTGTATCAAAATTGAATTAATATTTGAAATATTAACAAACAAAAAATTGAATGAATTATTGATATTTGAAAAAGTATTTAAAACATTATATTTATAATTATTATTTGAAAAGTTAAATAAAAAAAAAAAAAGGAAATCGGGCTACCCGGCCCAGCCCGCCACTTAACCCGGCGGGTTAGGGCTGGCAGGCCGGCTGGGCCAACCATTTTGAAGAAAATGGCGAGCCTAACCCGGCCTGCCTTTGCTGGCGGGGGGGTTAGGCCCGGCCCGCCAAACAAGTAACCCGTCGTGGGCCGGGCCGAGCGGGCGGGCGGGTCACTTTTCCACCTCTATTAAATAATCCAATCATTAAAAATTAAATGGGTCCACCGGTTATGTGTCACTAGCACTGGTCCCTTCCCTATCAATGGGCCACATCCCGGTTCCCACTATCGCAAGCTGACAATCGACAACACCTAGCCTCCATTGTTGAAAGGGTTCCTTTATTATAATTTGATATCGGTGATTTTACTTTGAATAACCAAGTCAATCATAAGAGTTAGCCGTTCATTTGTTATCCATTTAAGTTTCAGCTTTCTTCATAGGTTGTCCCTGTTTATTAAACCCCGTTCATTCCAAACAAGCTAAAGAAATTGTGGTGATAAAGAAAGAAATCAATTAAAGGGATGGGAAGTACTGGATCGAACCAGCGATGCTTCAGGTTTCCTTTTGCAGCCTTATTGATGATTATTCATCACCATAACATGTCGAGAGCGGTCGCTTTTGATGTTATCAACAAGAATATACCTCATTCAGTGTTTCAATCGGTGATGGAGAAGAAGAAGAAGAGCTCTTGATGGAATCCGAAGTGAGTCGAAGGCTTCTTGCAGGCCCGGGGTGGACATATTTCTTATGACGGTTTGAACAAGCCAGCAGTTTGTAATGCAAAAAATATGGAATTGCATTAAGCCCCTTAGTGGGGATAATCGCCCTTGCACTTACTACAATCGTTGCAAGCGTGGAAGCAGCTAACTGGTTATGAATGTTTGAGGGATCGCAAAAGGCCATGAAGTTTTCAATGAAGCACTAAATAATCCTGTGTTTTATAGTGCACAGATGATAAATACGTGTTAAGTTCCAGAATTGAAGATCAAGAGAAATGTATAATTGATGAATTTACTTTGTAATTACAGTAACTGTGAGTTGTTTGTAATATTTTTTTCTCCACTCTTTGTTAACATATAAGTTTTTCTCTCATTTTGGATGGTTTGAGAAATAAATAGAATGATAATTGAATTAGGGTTTGTTTGTGCACAACTAATGTTTGATGAAATGCCTAAGTGAAAAAATGTTACCAAACTGTCCCGTCACAGCCGTGACTTTCTAAGTGACTTTTGGGCATCTTACACATTGAACTGGGTTTAGACCAAAACATAAAAGTTGTAGCCCTGTCTCTAAGCTTTAAAACAAGACCAAAACCATATTAGTCAGATATGTATAACTCAAGTTATGTCTTCTTGAGTGTGACCTATGCGGAATGACTATCTTGATGCAATATTGCATTTGTGCATTTCATAAGTGCATTAAGTAAGAAATTTTAAGCATGAACCATCCTTATGCATTAATTGTGCATTAAGAAGTAGTTTGAGAAAAAGTAGAGAACTTTGTGAATGAGCTACTTTAAAAGTAAAGAGAATGAGAAAAATCTAAGAATGGGTTGCTGCTTTGTAAACTCCACCCGGAAGTCACGAAGAGTGGGTTGGTGCTTTGTGAACTCCAACTGGAAGTTACGAAGAGTGGGTTGGTGCTTTGTGAACTCCAACCGAAAGTCACGAAGAGTGGGTTGGTGCTTTGTGAACTCCACCCGGCCGTGCCTCCGGTAAGATGAGGCCGTGACATTCAAGTGAGAAAGAATGAGAAAATATGAGAAAGAAGAGAGGAACAGAATGAGTAGAAGTCACAAAGAGCGAGTGGGTGCTTTGTGATCTCTACTCAGCCGTGCCTCCAGTAAGATGAGGCTATGACATACAACAAAAAGTTAATAGAAAAGAGAGCTATGTGAAAGAGAAACAGAAAAAGAAAATAAATGAGAGGAGAAGAGTGTAAGGAAAGAATTAAGAGAAAGAGTTACGGGGATAGACGAGTAGAGGATTTACTTACTGAGCATTATTTTGTGCTCACCCNATGCCACTGATGATGATGATGATGACATGTTTAGTGGTAGTTGGTCAATTAGACAGCTGTCAGGATCAAGGAGCACGATTAGTAGTGGTGGAAAGAGTATGACCCTACATGATGATAGTATCTTCTCGGAAATCATGAATCCGAAAGGAAGGTAAAGTGTGTGAACTGTGAGAGTTGGACCTGGATTTAGAATTGAACTGGGCTGGATCCGTATTTGCATGTCTCTGGACCGGGTTTCTTGGGTCCTCGACCCGACAGGCCTTTTTCGCCATGGGAGAGTATAATGAGTTTTTGTATATTAATGTGATTATTTTCCTTTTAATTTAAAGAGATGTGAATCAATATTGTATGTCACTATTCACTACATTAATGGTTTTTTAAATTAGAGATGAATTTTCAGTAGGAATAAATTGTTAGGGGTGAGCATAGGTAAAGGGTAGGATCGGAACCGTCGGGTACCCAACCCCCTTCCTGAAACCGACCCCATTAGAGTCCGGTTCTGGTTCTAGAAAATTGGAATCGAGAATTCCCAGTTTTGGTTCCTACAATGTTGGAACCAAGAACCGGAACTAGAATTGAGGCCCGCGTACCCAAATAGGAACTGGACTGGATTATAATTTTTGTAAACTATTGGGGAAATATGTAATTTTGGGGTGTATTTGTCATTTTTTTTAAAAAGTAGTGGGATAAAAAAATAGCCCAGGTGCCTAGAACCAAAACCAAAACCAAAACGTATGTTTCAGGTTTCGGTTCTAGGTTTCTAGGAATGGATATTGGTCAGTTCCGATTTTGATTCCAAATCTTAGAAACCAACCAATTCCGGTTCTTTCAAAAGGTATTGGATATTCGAAATCGATTACCCCTAAGAATAATATTTGTTTACAAAATAATCAACTAATATTAGACGGTACAAAATAATCAACTAATATTAGACGGCGTTAATAATTTTCTTTTAAAGGTTTTATCGAATAACAATCAATCTGTCAGATATTTGAAATAACAATTTATCCCTCTTCGTTCACTAATGCACATTATTCATTGTACATTTATATTAACAGTAAAAAGAAAAAAAAAAAAAAAAAAAGATAATTGAGACCTCTATATTTTGGATTTTATATCTCAAACATCAAATNTTCGGGCCCATTTACTTTTGCTAATATAAATGCATTTTACTTTATGTATTTCTATGAGTAACCTAGTATGAAGCAGTTATTACATTTTTGGTATCAGAGCCGAGATTTTAGGATTTGACAGTGTACTATGCCCATCGCTCCGATGTCCGATAACCGACTGTGTGAGTTAATTCTTTCCTTACTATAAGTGTTTCTCGAATTGATTAAATGTGGTTGTTTTGTAGATGAGGCGTAATACCCGAAAGCGTGGTAAAAGTGTGATAAATGAGGGAGAACCTTCTAACCCACCAGAAGGTGCCCCCCCTCCCTTGGATGAAGCTAGAATTCGGGGAATTGTACAACAAGTTATGGCAAAAAGCCAAGGGAGAGTTGGGACCCCCTTACAGGTACCACCAACCACTAATGTAGAAAGAGAACAACCGGTACCTCCCCTAGTACAGAATAGAGTTGAACCGATTTATGGTCTTCCCAATCAACATCAACCTTCAGAGTTTAAGGGTACTACGGACCCGGTAGTAGCAGAAGAATGGTTTAGATCAGTAGAACGTACCACAGCTTTGTTTCCCATGACAGACCGGGAGAAGATCCGATATGCTAGTTTCTCATTTCGGGGTGATGCCCGAATATGGTGGGAATTAATAAAAGAATTTATCAGCTTGCAGCAGGAGTCTAGTACCGTGAAAGAGTACTCAGTGAAATTCAACTCCCTTGCAAGATTTGCACCTGGAATAGTGAGTACCCCAGCATTGAGAAGAGACAAGTTTGTACATGGGTTGAAGCCGGAGATAGCTCGGGATATAATGACGAGTTCTGATCCCCCTCGAACTTATAGTGAGGCATTGAGGCGAGCAATGAGGGCGAAAATATTTGAGAATAAAATTCCCCCAGTAGGTTCCTCGACAAGAGGACCAAGTGAGCCATCTTCCGCCCTGTAGAGAGAGAAATTTGAAGGTGTAAAAGGCAAAGAAATGAAGAATAATAAGAAGAAGTTTCAGTCTAGCCAGAATAGAAGAGATTGGAGGAGTAAGCGGCCTAGGACGGAAGGATTTCCTCTTTGCTCTAAATGTGGGAGGAACCACCCAGGAGAGTGTCTGAGGGACCAGAGGGTGTGTTATCATCAACTGTCGTCGAAAGCGAAGACAGACACACATCAGACGTTTGGGCGCATTTCGACAAGTTTTACGAGACAGAAAATGGCGNCTATATTTTGGATTTTATATCTCAAACATCAAATCTAAACAAAAATTTTGCTACAAAAATAATACTATATCCAATAAAATTTGGTGCTTATATTTATTAATAATTGTAATTTTGTGCTATATAAAATCCAAGAAGCACACTGTAATTTGCCAGTAAAAACATATTTAGGTCATTCTCGTACATTTTGTTGCTGCCCCGAGTGAAGAAGAAGATGAGCAGCAACAGGCGTGGCCCTCCGAAGCACCAAAATCAATACGCCTGGAAGCCAAACGCCGGTGTTAAGATAAACGAGAAAGTAAGCATCATCAAAGCAACAACTTTTTGTATTCTAACATCATCAAATCAATAAACTTTGTTTCATGTAGGAAGTCGGTGGCAAACTAAGACCTTACTCTGAGATAACGGGAGTTTGTCAACGATGTAAAGAACAGATTGATTGGAAACGCCGTTACGGCAAATACAAACCTCTCACCGAGCCCGCCAAATGGTCCGTGCCGTTCTGTTTCGTTCTCTTCTCAATTTATATGTTAACGCATTCAAGTTTAGTATTCGTTTAAGCCTGTAGTAATTGTCAATGTGATGATCTGCAGTCAAAGTTGTTCAAAGAGGGCTGTGCGTCAAGCATATCATAGTTTGTGCGCTGGTGGGTGTGCAAATTTTTTTTTTTTATATATTTTAGGAGTATGTATTAGTGAAAAGAGGAAAACTGAAGTTTTTCCTTCGTGGGTATGCTGTTGGTTTAGGTTGTGCAAAGGAGCAAAATGTATGTGCAAAGTGTCGATGCCGTGTGAAATGTGTAGTTGGAAGGTTTGTCTGATGTTCATATATATATATTTATCATTTTATGATTGAATTGATTAATACGTATTATATCTAGAAAAATAAGCAATTGGTTTTTGAGAATATTGTTATGCTTAAAGTATTTTGTGGGATCCTTTTTGTAGAGACCTTGCTGAAGTAGAGGCTGAGCAAAAGATGCTTGAGGAGGTTGGTTGTGTTGACTATGTTTTCTCGTCACAGTTACTATAAACTTTGTTTTTTAGTATTGGAAACAAACAGGTTTGTTGATTTTATTACAGGCTATTAAAAATGCTCGAGAAAGGGATCGGAGGACCATTTTACGTGCTGTAAGTTCCTTGATGAATGCTCTTGATACTAATATTTTGGTTAATTTTTGTAGGGTGGAAAAAATGCATTTCACTTGCCATAGAATATGCTTGCGGTTGACTTTATGAATTCCTTTTTTAGTACAGAACTTCCCTTTTAATGAAAATTGATTGATAAGTTATTCATATTGCTGGTGGAAAGTTAAATTATAAACCTCTAGTGCATTTGAGGAGATTCGGATTATTAGTACATTCAAGTTTAGAAGGAATGGACATAGTTATGATATGCAGAATTGAACATGTACGTTTCAAGGGTCAATAAGAAAGAATTTTCAGTATCTTTCGGTTGCAAATTCTCAAAAAGTTGGTGAACTTAAGAGGTTGGATTATTAATTTTAGCTTTATGAAGGTGTTTGCATTATCATATCATTTTGTACTCGTGAACTTTTGTCTTGGAATATATGGGCTTCTATTATTTTCTTTCCATTGTATTTGGGTCAAGTTTTTCCCTAGTTGCGCTTGATACTTGCATGCATGTAGAATTGTGTTCAAAACATTATACATAGAGTGACCGCATCAGTAAACCTGAAATCTGTTAGATCCTTTCACATGGTTGTATACCCTTCCCATTAGCAACACAATTGAACTTCCTGAGATTTTCTCTTCCCTTGTTAATTTTTCTTATGTGATACATATATACTGATCCTATTTATTGTGACAGATGGATAAAGGTACATCTAATGATTCTGAGAAAACCCCAGCTAACAAAAATAAGGTTGGTGAATTATTTCCCACTGCATCCCTTGACGAATATGCTGCCAAAAGCAGAGGTTACAAAGGCAGCAATGATAATGATGGTGATGGCATCAATGAAATCAATGATAAAGATGATAATTTTGTTGATGAAAATGATGATGTTGATGATGAAGATGAAGCCGGTGATGGTGATCTTGATAAGGAAGATCAAGGTGATGGTGATCTTGATAAGGAAGATCAAGATAATGTCGAAGATGGGGATCGAACTTTTAACTAAGAGAAGTGTAAACTGTTTCACAGTGCTGCTTATACTATTTGGATGGCCTCCACCCAACAACAGAGGCTACGACGATTGTAGGTTCCATTGTTTGAGTGATGTGCTAAAAGAGATCTTATAAAGTTTCAGATTTCATTTCTTCTGTTTAGGATGTTATTTCGTGGAAATGGTGCGTATTGTTGCACTGTAAGTTTTGCTCAATGAAAACTTTGTATGCAACATGAATCAAGAAGTTCTGAGTGACCCACACCCATTCTTAATATTTGTTGTCTAATTATTCTGTACTAGAACTTACATGACACAAGTTACTTAATAATTGAAATTATTATGGACATGTTATTACACTTTCCTATTTGTTGTAAGGGAATTTGGCTTTCATCTGTTTCTAGACTCGAGAATAATGGTCTTGCTCGTGCTGCTATAATTTAACTTTCTTATGTAACTATCTTTGTTCTAGAAATTCTATTCTGAGTATTTATCTATTAGAAATGAGAAAATCCAGTAGAGAAACAAAACAATTGTGGTAATCACCCTTAGAAGCTTTGTCAGTGATACTTTAATAGTAATACTGGGGCATGGAAATCTCGATTTTATTTACTTGGGTGAATCATTACTCACCTGTAGTCCTGTACATCTACGGCAGATGGTTATTTTAAATTATACTTGTCTGATCAACATCAAATAGTGTATACAAATTAACAAATGTAGAAGTCTTGAATCTGAACTCTGAAGCCACTTCAAAATTTGTTTTCTCAATCAGATTTTATGAACAGTGCTTGGTTTTTATTGCTGAAATGGAGCCAAAGAATAGACAATTTGGCTGTCAAACAGAGCATTACTTCACTTTTCAATGATGCATGTTAGGTGTTCACTCACTTATTCAACCTATGTCATTGACTGCTGGGATATTTGCTGCATCTTGAAGTAATATGATCCAATTTCAGTATTAGTTAAAGATGGGGAAACTTGCCACCGAATCTAGAAGGCAAAGAAATTTAGCAAATTGTGGATATTAAGAACCTAGGGAATATCAAACCTGAATAAAAGAAATAGCAGAAGAATCTGAACTCAAAGTCAACACTTGAAAATTGGAATGAAATAAGGCAGGTACTCTCAACTCTCAAGACACAGAAGAAAGAGAAAAATCCCAACTGAGAAAGGCAGAGACAAAGGAACTCCAAACAATTGAAATGGCATCTTGGATGCCTTCTCATAACATTATGTCCTCTTCTCCTCATAAGCCTCTTCACAATTATATTCTTAAGTTCTGGGCTCTCTTATCCTCGGTTCATTTTCACCAACACCTCAGCATACAACTCCTATAGCCCCTATAGCCAAATTGTTTTACCTTATACTATCCAAATCCTCTCTAATTTGCAGAAACAACTAGGAGTTCTGCTCGAGCAGCTGCATACCGATAGTTCAGAATCAAAAGCAGTTGAAAAATTTTCTGACCAAGTTCTTCATATAGCTGTATCTTTAGACAGGCTTGCAGATAGCCTTTCAGGTCTCCGCCATAGTAACCCTCCTCCCGGTAGCATTGAAATTAGCTATGTGGATGAAGACTTGAGTGAACCTGAACCTGAGGAAACCGATCTTGACGAAGGAACAATGTCTAGGAAAGCCTTCAATGCAGGTGAGATTTATAACTATACATCCCCAAAACCACATAGGCTAGTTGGCAAGAAGAATTTCCTTGATGTGGATGCAGTTAGTCCATCTGTTGGACAGGTTTGCGCAAAGATGGCTTCGATTGTTGACCGTTTCATAACTTACAAGGTTTATGGGGCGTGCCCAGATGATTGGGACATTGCTTAGAAACTCATAGTTAGTGGCTTTGATCCATTATCAAGAAGGCGATGCTTCTCAAGAACATCTCCACATTACAGTATGCCATTTGCTATTAACACTTCTCTTTGGACTCAACCTAGTGATGCTAATATCTTGTGGAACCATTACAAGTGCAAAGCCTACTCTTGCCTTGTTTCAAAAGAAACGATGGACCGAATAGGCTTCTCCAAGCGTTCAGATTGTTTTAATCTCTCTAAATGAGGATGGGATGTAGCAAAAAATGAATCCATTTCTGCTGAATTCACCATCGATCAAGTCTTAGGATTGAAGCCAGAAGAAATTCGAATTGGTCTCGACTTTAGCCCAACAATTGGCACATTTGCAGCAATGATGAGGGAGAGAAATGTAACCATCGCATCAGCTACCTTAAACTAAGGGGCGCCTTTCAATGAGGTGATTGCGCTAAGAGGCCTTCTACCTCTATACATATCAGTAGGCTCCAGGTTGCCATTCTTTGACAACACACTTGATATTGTGCATTCCAATCTATTCTTAGATGTGTGGATAGGGATACAACTTCTATAATTTGTACTTTTTGATTGGGACAGGGTCCTTAGACCAAAGGGGCTCCTTTGGGTGGACCGTTTCTTTTGTAAGAAAGAAAATATGAAGCTGTACTTGGATGAGTTTTCCAGGCTAGGCTACAGAAAGCTACTAAGAAGGGTTGTACCAAAGACTGATAAGCTTGGCGATGAGCTTTTCTTCTCTGCAGTTCTGGAGAAGCCAAGTAGAGGTTAAACTCACCCGAATGACTGCAAATTAATGAAGATGGGGCATTGTTTCTTCCTAAAGTGATATCAGAAATGAATTTCCATCCATGTAGTGTTTCACTTGTGTTCTCTATCAGATGTTGAACCAGCAAAAAATTAAACACTGAAATGAACATATTTTAACAGCAAAAGAAGAATTTGCAATATTTCACTCTCAACAAATAATTCTAAGCATCGCGTTTGTTGTCAAACTAGAAAGCACAGAGCAGGCACTAATATGGATTGAGAATCTACAATGCATAATACCATTTCTAGTATTCTGGCTATTTTTTAACAGAGTGGCTTAAGACTGCTGCAAACAAAACTACAAAATATAAAGGTGAATTGAGTAGTCTGCCGGAAAAAAATTGAACTTGAACCTGAAATTGAGAGCATGTACATGTGCGAGCTATGAAATATTACAGCAATTTATATCTTAGCTTTGTACACACCCAATCTAAGTAGAAACTATATCTCATGATTAGAACTCCAGATATTGCACTCTCAGCAACTAGAGTACCATATATCAACAGAGGTCTCCAGAATATTACTCTGGCAAAATGCATGTCTGAGTGTTGTGGGTGCATGCGTGAAAGAGAGATGTACAGAGATTTCAGCCAGATAAAGATTTTAATTTGCCATTCCAAATTTCAGAATGGAAAATTTACAAATTTACTCTGGTAAACAAAATGTAACTCAACAACAAACATGGAATTGTCTTACAAAAAATTATTTGCTTTGACCTATGAGAATACATTTGCTACAGCCTCTAGTTGGTTTTAGTGTAATCGTGTAAATTAATCTTAAATTATTTTTTTTTTTGTAAAAAAAAAATTAGCTTGAAAGAATCTTAGCCAGATCCACTAAAGCTTTTAAAAGAATTAGTCAGCAAATCCACTTTAACAACCGTCAGTTTGGCTCCTCAATTTAAATGATAATGATCACTGCAAGAACAGCAATATATTTCTGGATCTTAAAAGCCGGGAAAACTTTTTTGCATATGTCAGGACAGCCTTCTCAAAATTATGTTGACTAGCCAGCTTTGAACCCAAATCCCCGCTATTCATGCAGCAACAAGCAAAGGCTGTGGGCACCATTTAGATCACCATCTATTCGTCTTTTGCACACAGACGCTCTGAAAAGGTAGACAATAATATTCTAAGGCACAGCTTTGACCAATAACTAGAGGTACAAGCACATAAGAAGAGCATAACATTTCATAAAAGGAGGAAAAAAAATTTTAAAAACAACCAAGATAAAAGAAACTAGAGACAAAAACTGAAAAAATCAGGGAAACATAAATACCCAAGACATAACTGGAAGATACACTCTAGCAGCGTAAACAAATTATTTTAACAACTCTATGAAATATTATATAGCAATGATAAAGTAAGAGTTTCAAAAGATCGTTAACGTGAAAAACCACAGTCATCAGAACATGCACATGGCAGTCAAATGGACTCACAGTTTCCAACAACATGAATCTCCAGAATCTAGGTCCTGTGCCAGGATGACCCTTGTTGTAGCTTATAAGCTAATGGGCCATGTAATGAAATAAATATACGAATAACAAAGAAACAACTATGTAGTCCACCTTGCAGGTTCAAGCGTCAAAATCCACAAATAAAGAATATTTCTAAACCTTTGTTTTTTATTTGATTCCTTTAAACTCCAGAAACCGGTTCAAGCATTAAAATTTCAACATGTATCAAAATTCATTTTATACTTTCTTTTTATCATTCCTTACTACAATAAATGCAACTCCAGAAAGGAAAAAGTCCATACTCAAATATTCATAGGCTAATATCATTGAAGTTCCCCATGCTGACATGCTGAAAAATCTTGGACCTAACCCTCGATATAAACCTAGCCAACCATCTTCTGCAATCAAATTTTTCACAACATGTACTGTGGAAGGTCTCTTATCATGCCCCATTACCTACAGACCAGAAGCAGATTTTTAACACAAAATAAAATAAAATATTAAATACAAGCATTTAAGTCTACATCCTAAGAAAACCTGTAAGCGAGTCTTAATAGTGTCCAATGGGGTTGTGATACAGGATGCAGTTGCACCTGCTATAATTCCTCCAGTTGCTTGAACTAATGCTATTGTCCCGTGGCTGGGTGGAGCTTTCTCAAGATCTTTGCCATGGCCTAAAAGCCTACACAAACAATCAGATAATATGTTCATTAAAATTTACTGAATAACTAATAAAATCATGAGAAAAGACTTAAAATTGCAACACAAAGTTCAATGATTTAATTATAATAAATTCCATCACGATAGCCATATTATTCCCAAAAAACAACGAATCTTATTAGACCACAAGATTGTTGCATAGTCTCTTGGTTGGGGAAAAATAGCTCAAAAGTTATTATAATTTTGTAGAAGTGGCATTTCTCTAACCTTGTAACTCCTTCCTGATTCTTAGATCATTAGTATCATTCATTACAAATTAAGAGTTGGAATCAAGTCCAAGTTTGAGCAAAGCAAATCTGCTGTCCATGACCATTCGTGAAGGGCAAGGAACATTTGAACATTATTATAATTGACGTTAAATATATATACAAGTGAAGTATCCTAGATTAACCAGCAAACAAAATTCCTGTCTATAATCCAAACGGACGTCATGATGCAATCTAGTCATTGAGGATAACAGTATAACTAATAAAAGAGGGATCACTAGCTAGGTCCTCTCTATAAATATTTAAATTGATAGAGAACAAGAAACCACTATGTTTTACCTCCAAATGACACGTTGGCTTGAACCATAACTTGCCCACCATACAGCACTTGATGGGGCATAAGTCATAACGGAAAGACCAAACCCTCTGTATAATCCCCGAATGCCATCAGACTTTATAACCTTACGAGCAACATCAATGCCACCGCTATACTTAGCATGGCCTGAGTATCCTTGTACCATCAACTTTTGGCTAACCTGAACAATATTAATTAGGCCAAATTTTAGCAGCTTGAATTCTCTAATAGATGAAAATGTTTTCTTCATCTGCATATATATATTACGGGTAAGGCATAAAGTAGGCAATTATTAGAGTGTATGACATGATTAATAGGGTATGTCCTAATCTATTAATGCGTGTTCTATACAATTACGATAAGTTTACCATAAAATGTATTTATTCAAAGTTGTGACTTATTATGGCTCATCACAAATTACATAGATTCTACGACTTGTGTTTTAACTTACAATTCCATTCTTAGTAAATTCTCAAAACAAGTGGCATTCTAACATTCAGAGTATATTTAATAAGTGTCTTGATGAATCCAAGAAGTATTGAATACTTGTCAAAATAAACAATCTAATTTTTTTTTTTTTTTTTTCATTCGTTGATACATAGTATTCAAAGAGCAAAGATATTCATGAACGAGACAACTCTCTAGAAGTATCTGAGCTATGTAGTTTATAAATTGCAACCAGAAAAAGGAAAAGTAATGAAATTCAATTAAAAAGTTCTGCTGTAACTTAAAACCATAGCCTCTCAATTTATCATACATCACAAAACTCCCCAAGGAGGTGGGTATGTTGGCGAGGGGCACATAGCTGGAAATTTATATATAAAAAGGCACCAATCCATATATATGTATATATAATTATACTATAACAACTTATTTAAAAATAAGATGCCCACTATAAAAGAAGAACCGCATACCACATCAACTGGAACAAATACAGATTGAGCAAGAAGTGATCCTGACATGCCAGCAATTCCATTTGCTATGGCTGCCTGAGTAGCTTCAGAAAATTTAAATGGTTCTACCATCTTGAAAGCTGCTACCTTTGTTGTCTCTAAAGCAGTCAGAAATATTATCCTGGCAGGAATCGCACCAGTGATGACAGTACCAAAACCTCTGTATAGACCAGGAATCCCATCTGCCTTCAGTATCCCTCTGATAACAGACAACGCATTTCTCTCGACGGTATCTTTTGAAGCAACCTGAAGCCTTGTTTTTACCACAGAGACCGGATACAGAGCCACAGTAATCCCTGTAAAGAGGCCAGCTCCGACAACATAAAATTTTGTTTTATCAAGCCTGCAGAAATTAGTTGAGGTATGAGCATATAAAATTACATATTTAAAAAACACAGTAAAATTTGAGAAAAGTAATCAGAGGCACGAGAGTTGATAAAATGTTCACTNAGAAAGGAAAAAGTCCATACTCAAATATTCATAGGCTAATATCATTGAAGTTCCCCATGCTGACATGCTGAAAAATCTTGGACCTAACCCTCGATATAAACCTAGCCAACCATCTTCTGCAATCAAATTTTTCACAACATGTACTGTAGAAGGTCTCTTATCATGCCCCATTACCTACAGACCAGAAGCAGATTTTTAACACAAAATAAAATAAAATATTAAATACAAGCATTTAATTCTACATCCTAAGAAAACCTGTAAGCGAGTCTTAATAGTGTCCAATGGGGTTGTGATACAGGATGCAGTTGCACCTGCTATAATTCCTCCAGTTGCTTGAACTAATGCTATTGTCCCGTGGCTGGGTGGAGCTTTCTCAAGATCTTTGCCATGGCCTAAAAGCCTACACAAACAATCAGATAATATGTTCATTAAAATTTACTGAATAACTAATAAAATCATGAGAAAAGACTTAAAATTGCAACACAAAGTTCAATGATTTAATTATAATAAATTCCATCACGATAGCCATATTATTCCCAAAAAACAACGAATCTTATTAGACCACAAGATTGTTGCATAGTCTCTTGGTTGGGGAAAAAGAGCTCAAAAGTTATTATAATTTTGTAGAAGTGGCATTTCTCTAACCTTGTAACTCCTTCCTGATTCTTAGATCATTAGTATCATTCATTACAAATTAAGAGTTGGAATCAAGTCCAAGTTTGAGCAAAGCAAATCTGCTGTCCGTGACCATTCGTGAAGGGCAAGGAACATTTGAACATTATTATAATTGACGTTAAATATATATACAAGTGAAGTATCCTAGATTAACCAGCAAACAAAATTCCTGTCTATAATCCAAACGGACGTCATGATGCAATCTAGTCATTGAGGATAACAGTATAACTAATAAAAGAGGGATCACTAGCTAGGTCCTCTCTATAAATATTTAAATTGATAGAGAACAAGAAACCACTATGTTTTACCTCCAAATGACACGTTGGCTTGAACCATAACTTGCCCACCATACAGCACTTGATGGGGCATAAGTCATAACGGAAAGACCAAACCCTCTGTATAATCCCCGAATGCCATCAGACTTTATAACCTTACAAGCAACATCAATGCCACCACTATACTTAGCATGGCCTGAGTATCCTTGTACCATCAACTTTTGGCTAACCTGAACAATATTAATTAGGCCAAATTTTAGCAGCTTGAATTCTCTAATAGATGAAAATGTTTTCTTCATCTGCATATATATATTACGGGTAAGGCATAAAGTAGGCAATTATTAGAGTGTATGACATGATTAATAGGGTATGTCCTAATCTATTAATGCGTGTTCTATACAATTACGATAAGTTTACCATAAAATGTATTTATTCAAAGTTGTGACTTATTATGGCTCATCACAAATTTCATAGATTCTACGTCTTGTGTTTTAACTTACAATTCCATTCTTAGTTAATTCTCAAAACAAGTGGCATTCTAACATTCAGAGTATATTTAATAAGTGTCTTGGTGAATCCAAGAAGTATTGAATACTTGTCAAAATAAACAATCTAATTTTTTTTTTTTTTTTTTCATTCGTTGATACATAGTATTCAAAGAGCAAAGATATTCATGAACGAGACAACTCTCTAGAAGTATCTGAGCTATGTAGTTTATAAATTGCAACCAGAAAAAGGAAAAGTAATGAAATTCAATTAAAAAGTTCTGCTGTAACTTAAAACTGTAGCCTCTCAATTTATCATACATCGCAAAACTCCCCAAGAAGGTGGGTATGTTGGCGAGGGGCACATAGCTGGAAATTTATATATAAAAAGGCACCAATCCATATATATGTATATATAATTATACTATACAAACTTATTTAAAAATAAGATGCCCACTATAAAAGAAGAACCGCATACCACATCAACTGGAACAAATACAGATTGAGCAAGAAGTGATCCTGACATGCCAGCAATTCCATTTGCTATGGCTGCCTGAGTAGCTTCAGAAAATTTAAATGGTTCTACCATCTTGAAAGCTGCTATTTTTGTTGTCTCTAAAGCAGTCAGAAATATTATCCTGGCAGGAATCGCACCAGTGATGACAGTACCAAAACCTCTGTATAGACCAGGAATCCCATCTGCCTTCAGTATCCCTCTGATAACAGACAACGCATTTCTCTCGACGGTATCTTTTGAAGCAACCTGAAGCCTTGTTTTTACCACAGAGACCGGATACAGAGCCACAGTAATCCCTGTAAAGAGGCCAGCTCCGACAACATAAAATTTTGTTTTATCAAGCCTGCAGAAATTAGTTGAGGTATGAGCATATAAAATTACATATTTAAAAAACACCGTAAAATTTGAGAAAAGTAATCAGAGGCACGAGAGTTGATAAAATGTTCACTACACATCGCTGTTCCTGCCCAAACAAGTCCAGCAAGGAGTGTTTCAAACATGGAGCTATCCTTTAAGGAAAAAACTTAAATGCATTTGATAACTTCAGATTAAAAAAAAAAAAAAAAGTGACTATAAGCGTCTCTACAACAAAAGCATTTCAATCAAACCAAATGAACAAGTAAGAACATTTAAATAGCTAAAATTAGAGTTTTGCTCATAAAAAACAGTTTAAACTTTAAAGAATGAGTCTGAAGACAATATTTTAGCCTCATTCACTTAATAAAGGTGTATTAAGATTATTCACCTAAGAAATGAACAAACTTCACTGATACAATTGAATAAAGGCCTCATTACTTTTTACACAAACACCAAACTAGCACCTTAGCATTATCAGGATCCACAATCAATTTACGGGCTGCTTATGCCAATTTACTAATGCACACCCTTTCAGAACAAAATAAACCAGTACTGCTTAAAATAACCCTCTTCTTCTTTTTTGACTTTTTTTCTTTCTTTCTTTCTTTCTTCTAGACCTACAATCTCAAATTCTCCTAAACCTACAATCTTTAAGAAGTATGAAATCAACTAATCATTCAAGGTTCAGACTATCTTTCATCAAAGAAAAACAATACAAAATAAATCTCTAGTACCCAGAACATAGACAACAAAATCTCAACAACTGAAGTGTCCATTGGCCCAAATCTTTATCATATTAACCTCCTCAAATAACCAAACTAGGGCACATCTCCTCTATATTCCTACATTTATTATCTTCCAGAACTACAATTAAATTGACCCCTTTCTCCCAAACTTCAATCCAAGATTAAGCCAGTAACGATCGCAAACAATCAAAAAATATAATACAATTGTTGGGTATCAACTAAATCAACCAAGAAACACGAAGAGAACGAATTGAAAAATACGTACTTGTCCCAATTAATCTCGGTCTGAGCAAATGAATGAACTCGGGTATTAGAGGTCTCCATTGATAACTCGAACCAACTTATGGGAAAAAAAAAAAAATGGAAATCTTTGAGAGAAAATGCTAAATGAAGGATTGGAAGGGTGGAAAGTTCAAAATGTATTCGTTTCCCAGGTAACTTGGAGCGAAAACATTTCTTTTCTTTGACAACGATTTTCTGATTTTTATGTTTAATTGCTCTCCTATTTTCTTTTTTCTATATATATATATATATATATATGTATATATATATATTTTTTTTTTTGGCTGGGTGGAGATCTGTCAAACACGGTGGTGGGTTTTGACCTAGGATAGGCTTTGATTAGGCATAGTCATAGTCATAGTCATAGAATAGAATAATATTGCTTGGTAACAAGTCAAGGGTCAGAAATTGCCTCTCTTTGGTTCAATATATGGCCTTTCCTAAAGTTTAATGGATGGGTGAATATTCAATGGAAAATAATAGAGTCACATAAAATAGTAAATCGAATTTATGCATCGAATGATGTGACGTAATCTTGATCATTGATTAAATATAAATTAATATTAATTAACGATCAAGATTGTATCACGTCATTCGGTATATGAATTCGATGTACTACTTTCGATGACTATAACATTACTCTCAATTACTCAAAACGATTAGTATTTATTATTTAATAGATTATGTATCTCCTTCCTTCTTTTAAAGGCTTTAGAAGGAAATCAAATTAAAAAAAGCTGGTCATAATTAGAATTAGAATTAAAATATTTCCACCGTCACACTTTTTCTGATTTATTTTACTAACTATTCAAGCATTTAGTCGAACATTTTTCTTGCTACTTAACTTTTTTGTTTTTTTTTTTTATGATCAAGGGTCTTTGGACCGGACCAACTTCTTCACATCTTAATTAATCTTTCAAGACTTTGAAATTATCGGTCAAGTAAGAGCTTTAGTAACCACCCGTATCAGTAGCTGAATAAAATCACTAATAACCTAATGGACTTGCACAATAGTAAGGGTTAAGGACAAGAAAGATTACCAGAACTTGGGAACAATAACTTTGAGAGCTAGGTGCTGTGGATATAATAAACCCAAGGGATTGAAATCCTAATAGGACTCTAAGTCCTATTTAGTATATGAGTCTCAATTAGGAAAAAAACTCTTATTTCTTACCTTTATCAATCCAAGAGTATTAATTCATGTAAGATACTGGATCTTGAACGAATTAAGAAGGTGAGAGGATTATTGTTCCTATTTATAGACTGTTGTGGGCTGATGGGTTGGAGCCCGATTTGACTTAACTTATAAGATAACCCAACTCATAGAGTGGACAATTCACGAGATGGATTTAAGCGTAGGTCCAACTGGAGTTGGGCTAAGGCACTAGGCCGTAAAGTGTTTTTTTCATTATTGGGTCTCGTTAGGCCTAATATGATTTTTGGCTCATACTAGGACTCGAACTCTGGAAACCATGTTAGATCTTTCATTTACTATTTTACCATCAAGGAGATTCAAACTTGAGAGACCGTGTTAGATTCTTTTTTACCCTTTTACCATCTCTTCTCGCACCATCCACACTCGTGACACCCTCTACCTTCCTCATACCCACACAACATCATTGTCAAATTAAAACAAAAACAAAAAATATCGTTTGGTTCACCATTTTGGCACTTTTTATATTAGTCTTTTGGAAAAAGTTGAGTTTAGTAGTATTCTAAGAATTTTTTTTTATACATTTTTTAATAGCATTTTCTGAAAATATTTAGATTATTTTAACCTTCTAGGTTTGTTAATTTAACTAAACACCCATAATAATAAAAGTTTATAAATTGATAAAAACACCCTTATCCACCCACGTATTACTGACAACCAGCCATCACCGTCATAAGGTGGTTGGAATCTGTTGTAATAGCACACTACCGATTAGATCTAGCCAATAGTACGTCGATTTGATCTTTTTCGATTAGATCTACAGCTACATATTTGACTGTTGATGGTTATGTCTGACCAACTTTGACCGTCGTTGACGACCATATCTTGACTGTTGTTAAAAATATGATTAAATTTTGAGAAGTTTTTAAGATATGATAATGAAATAAGATAAGATATGAAAAGTGTGCCACACGGAGCGTACAATTGCTCCAAAAAAAGTGCAAAAGAAGTTGTTGTATCGTTTGTCCTAGTTAAAGAGTTTTGACAATTTGTTTCCGAGCTCTTTCAGCTGCCTTTTCTTATGTGTGCATTTTCCATGGCTATATGTACCAAAAAATTTCCCTATAAAACATGTAGATCTTTAGCAATTACAACAAATCCAAATACCGCGTACTCATATCACATGATTTGATCTGTGAAAATTAATTCAATGATTCGAAACTTTAATGTATGGTTTGGCAAATATTAAATTATTAATGGTCACGCGACGTGATTGAGGAGATTTGGGCTTGGAAGATCCGGTAAAGGGAAGAAACAGGGTGGAAAAAGATGTACGTGTCAGATATGGCCACCAACAGTTAAATCACATCTAGTTGAAAAATATTAAATTTGCATACTATCGGTTAAATTCAACCGGTAGTGCGTTATTATTACTTATTCTAATCATTTTACAATAGTGACGGCCGATAAGATATAGGTAAATGAGAGTGTTTTTGTTAATTTATAATTTTTTATTGTCGAAGTGTTTAGTTTAATTAACAAACTTATGGATTAAAAAAATCTAAATATTTTGAATTGAATAGAATATGATTGGATTTTAAAAACATTGAAACAAATATATATTTTGAATAGGGAAACAAAGACAAGCTATTTCTATTTTCTAAAGGATTTTTGGTTTCTTTCATAAATTTTGATTTTTTCAAAGACTTTGTAAAAGATTTGTAAATCTTTAAATATTTAGAAACACCCATTACTTAACATGCCTACCACTACTTAAAATATACAGCTTCTCATACTTAAAATCGAATCAATTAAATTTTTCACAAGGTTTATTAATTAATATATAAGGGTTATTACATACTTCATAGTTCTATTTATTTATATTTATCTATTTACAAATATAATTAAAAATGGATCATGTGTGAGATTTCTTTAATATTTTGTTAATCTTCTTATTTGGTCAGGCTTAGAATACTCATAATATTCTTGGATACGTTTGGTTTATTATTTTGGATAGAATTTTATAAATCGTATTAGATAGTTGAATAGGGTGATTAGTACGAGGTAAAATTTAAAAATTTATAAAAAAAACTCATAGATTTGCTAATTTAACTAAACACCCTAATATATAAAGCCGTCACCGCCAGAATCTAGCCGAAATCTGGCGTTATGACGCAGACCGGTTGGATCAGGCCTGACGTGCGTCGATCTGGCCTTTTCTGGCTAGATCCACCACAGATCTGGCCGGAAAAGGCCAGATCGATGGTCAGATTTGGCTGTCAACGGTCGCAAAAGGCAAGATCTTGCCGTCAACGACGGCCAAAGATATGGTCGTTAGATCAGCGAATGATCGACAACTTCCGGTCGTTTGTAGGCCGTTGTGATAGATTTCAACTACCACCGATGGTGGTTGTTGGAATCTGACAACTATAGGTGGGTGGGGGTGTTTTTGTTAATTTTTAAACTTTTTTTCCTGGGGTACTTAATGAAATTAATAAACTTAAGGGGACTAAAAGTAATTAAAAAAATATAATAGTATTCCTTAAATAGTTAAACAAACAAATATTTTGGGAATACGATTGGGAATAGTAATAGAAATATTAAACCAAACGCACCCATATATTCTATAATTTCCTAATTATATCAATTAAACAATAATATTGATATATTGATATTATTGTTTAATTAATATAATTAGGAGATTTAATAGATTGTATGTTTCATATATAAAGTCTGTAATTCTATAGGAAAAATCTAAATGTATATTCTCACAAGATTTAGACAAGTTAAGCATATGTAACATCAGAGAGAAAGTGTTAAGATTTTCTGAATATTTTGTGATTTTTTATTTTGTCAGATTTAAGATACTCATAATATTTTTTATATTTTATAGTCTCTGAATTATGTCAGTATATTGTGTTATATATAACCGATATAATTAAGTCAATAGAATGTATAACTCCTATATAAAACCTGTAAAATCTTTAATAAGAATCAATGAATTAAAACATCCCATTCTTTATACAAACATCATGATCATTGTTATCAAAAATTTTATGATATATGCTTAGATTCAAACAAAGCACATCATGATTCATGACATTTAACAAAAACAATTAATAAAATGAAATTTACCCTTACACAACGCTGGATAAAATATATTTCATATTCTAAAACGACAAGACTGTCACTTTTAAAAAAAACAGTCAAACCACCACCAGCCACCACCTCCACTATAAAGTCCCGGTCAAAACTCCCAGTGTAGCCGTATCCAGAATGTTCTGTATCAGGTTTCACTTGTCATTTTCAATCGTCAAGATGACCAACTGTCATGTATCTGGTTTCAGCTGTAATTTATTTCAGGGAAATAATTGCTTGTAAATTAAGCTAAGCCTGTAGTGCTCTTCCTTTTTTGTACATTTTTAATATAAACCAAACGGAAAACTCAAAACTAGCAGCCACTTCCATGTACTTCCCTTACTTCACTTTGTATTTTAATGGTATTGAGAAAAAGCAACCGCATTTTTGTTTTCTCGCGAATATTATATATAAAAGATTTGTGCGTAAAACTGGGGTTAAAAGGCCGGTTGAGTTCTGAAACTGACTTGTCTAAGTCTTCAAAAGTCTTGTCACCAACAGCTTATTTTTCTTTCTGTGTGCGTGTTGAAAGTCTTGAGTCTTGAGCCAAAGCAAGAGAGGAAGAACGTTTTGCATAAGATTATTGGAAAATCTGCAGGAAAATATGGAGTTTTTGTTCATATCCAGTTCAAGATTGTTCACTAAAGTTACTAGTTGCTTTATTTTGCTTCTCTATCTGCTGTTTTGTGCGAGCTTTACTACTACAGGTGAGCTTCTGTTTTGTTTGTAAAATGTTTCGAAATTTGTAATCTTTATCTGTTTCTTGTTTGTGTCGATGGGTTTGTTTCTGTTAAGGTCTCTCTTTCTCTCTCTCTTTTTGGGTTTCATTATAATGGCGTTTCTGGCATGCATGGTTCTTGTGTTTTGTGAGTTTTCTTTAATCATCTGAAACGTGGAGCTTTTGTTGTTCTCTGGTCTCTTTTGATGCTTATGTTAGTGGTTTGTGGTTGAAAGTTTTGAACTTTAGCTTTTCATCTCAAAAACTTTCTAAACTGAATCAATTTTAGATGTCAATTTGCTTAATATTTACAGAAAATGTGGCTTGGAGAATAATTTCTGTCTCATATGTGAATGAGGTTCGCTCTTGTCATTTTGATGGACATGAAGATGTAATGAAGATTAAACCTTTATTTTCTCTTTCAAGGTTTAGTTGGGGACATGATAATCACATAGTTAAAGGGCAGTTTACATTATTTTTTATTCTCTTGTTTTGTTTTCTTAACTTCTTTTTGTGGACTTAATTTGTGATCTTGCATTTAAATTTCCCTCTTGCTGGTTTATTCATATGATTTCTTGATAATCTGATTGAGATACCATTATAATGGGAGTAATTAGAGATTGATGATTCCAGGTTCATGATAGAAACTTGGTTGGTACTGGATTATACATTCTATTATCATAATTACTCATAGAATATTTTTTCTTTTTCTGTGGATATATTTAATTGCCTTTGAATTAGAGGAATTTTGGTTTTATGAAGTAGAGAATATACGTTTTTGGGCTTCATCCACTTAAGCTATTAATGCAGAGTGTTGATAATAAAGCTTTCTTTTGCTGGTCGTTTTTGTTTATAGAAGCGTATGATGCACTTGACCCAACTGGAAACATCACAATTAAATGGGATATCATGAGTTGGACTCCAGATGGCTATGTTGTAAGTATCCTGGATTCTACTTATTCATCTTCGTTAAACCTGTTTCTGACTTGGAACTATTTCGGTTGATAATCTTTCTTGTACCCACTAAATCAACTAGTAAGCTTTTATGTTGTCCTTTTGCTCGGGTTAAGTATCTTATCAGCTTCTTGATGGAATGAACAGGCTGTTGTTACGATTTACAACTTCCAACAATACCGTCACATTCAAGCTCCAGGATGGACTTTGGGGTGGACATGGGCAAAAAAGGAGGTAATATGGAGCATGTTGGGAGGTCAAACGACGGAACAAGGGGATTGTTCAAAATTCAAAGGAAACATTCCACATTGCTGTAAAAAGAATCCAACAGTTGTTGATTTATTACCAGGAACACCTTACAACCAGCAGGTTGCAAATTGCTGCAAAGGGGGTGTAATAAGCTCATGGGCGCAAGATCCAGCTAATGCTGCGAGTTCATTTCAGCTTAGTGTAGGTTCAGCTGGAACCTCCAATAGAACAGTCAGAGTGCCGAAGAACTTCACCCTGAAGGCACCAGGGCCTGGCTATACCTGTGGTCCAGCAAAAATAGTTAGACCTACCAAATTTGTTAGCACAGATAAAAGAAGAGTTACGCAAGCATTGAGTAAGTTACTGGAAAAAGGTGTAAATTTCTTTACAGAAAAAAAATAACTGAGGTTTCTTACCGTAACTCTGTTCTGAATGACTGAACTGTTCTTGTATGTGGTAATTCTATTATTTAGACATCAGATGCAGAAACCTGTGTCAATAGCTATGCTTTTTCTTGCTTGACATTTGTTTCAGTTCCACCAGTAATATTCCCCAATCACATGTGGCAAGAAGTTTTCAGGAACTTTACATGAATGCATATTTATTTAGTTTCTTTACTGCTTTTTTTTTCCTCATAACTTGTATCTGTATGGAAGTTTTAGCCAACTAATTCCCGCTTTTTTGTCAGTGACATGGAACGTTACATGCACATATTCACAATTCCTGGCTCAGAAAACTCCCACTTGCTGTGTCTCACTTTCATCCTTCTACAATGAGACAATAGTGCCCTGCCAAAAATGTGCCTGTGGCTGCCAAAATAACAACACTCAGTCTGGCAGCTGTATAGAGTAAGTTCTGTCAGCCAACATACATGCACATAAACGTATATTTATTAATTGTTTTCTAAATTTCTGTAATTCATGTACAGACCTAAAACACCTCATTTAGCTTCAGTGTTGTCAAATTCGGAAAGCAACAGCTATTCGCCTCTCGTCCAATGTACAAGTCATATGTGTCCAATCAGAGTGCATTGGCATGTTAAACTTAACTACAAGGAGTATTGGAGAGTCAAGGTCACAATTACAAATTTCAATTACAATATGAACTATACTCAATGGAACTTAGTTGTCCAACATCCCAACTTCGACAATCTGACTCAAATTTTCAGCTTTAACTACAAGTCATTAACTCCTTATGGAGCTATAAGTAAGTTTGATCCCTTCTTGTGATTTCTCATGTTTGCTTCTGCATTCTTTGCTGTTTTTTATTCTTCAGACAATGTGAATGTCATTTCATTCTTTTTAGATCATTGTTGATTGGAAATAAAGAAGAGAATGACTGTTTTCTTAGGTTCTGATGCGTTGCATAATGTTTAATACACAGACTGATAGTATATACAAACAATTTATTCATTTTTTGTGAATAAAGCCATTAACTGATACATGGCACTTAAGGTTGCATCTCATTGTTCTCCATTGAATTGTATAACATTTGTTTTCCCGATAGGATTGAAGAGTGTAACTTTTATTCATTTTTTAATTTTCAACAGATGATACAGCCATGCTATGGGGGTTTAAGTTTTACAATGATTTGCTCATGCAAGCCGGTCCTTTGGGTAATGTGCAATCAGAGCTACTTTTCCGAAAGGATAAGTCAACCTTTACTTTCGAGAAGGGTTGGGCATTTCCAAGAAGGATCTACTTCAATGGAGATAATTGTGTCATGCCACCTCCTGATTCCTATCCATGGTTGCCAAACGCGAGTTCTTTCTTGTTTGTCTCCCCACTTAATTTATTCATTACTTTATTGTCAACCCTGGCATTCTTATATGGGTATGCGTAAACACCCGTCCCTGCTCTCAACAAAACGTGGGATTCTACAACTTTAAAGCCGAACTGTTTGACCCTGGTCCTCAATGCAAGCCAAATATGACATTCATCCGCGAGTGCAATGGCTCCAGCAATTCAAGGGCATTGTCCCAAAAACTGCAGGTTTGTGCATTGGTGGATGAATTCACAGCCATTCAGCTCCATCCAGTCGTTGTGCTAGATGTTTGTTTTGTGCTTAATTTTGTCTACTTTGTAGAATTTCCATTTTAGATGTATATTCCATTTGTAACATAATTGAGAACTAATCAGAGAAACTAGAGCTAATTAATGCATATGTTACCTTGCTGTTTATATTCTCTCCTTTTTCTCTTCGTTTCTGCATTATCTTAATTCAAAATCAACATAATGAAATCTTATGTTAAATAAAAGTAAAGGAGGTCAGTTCTGTATTTTAATTGAGAAAAGTAATTGCTAAGTTGATTTAGCTCTGAGGGAGAAATGAGAAGCCTTTTTGTGATGGCACATTATGTTCTGGATGCCTATTGTTCTGGCAATATAAGGAAGAAGTATCCAACAGCAACAATGCCCAAACACCAAAAAAAATTCTCTGAGATTCACTATAGATGATACATATATAATTTGTCTACTCACAAATTCGATAATTCTTTGCACAATGCTAACGTTATGATTCCTCCAAAGAATTTTCAGGTTTTAAACCTCTGCTCCCAATTCTGTGTCCAAGTTAACCTTCGTTTCAAAACTTGAATGCTAACTCTCTTTCACAGTTTCAAGCTTGAGGACCAAAATTACCAAATAGCTATAAAGACGAATAGCACTACAGAAATCAATGTTGAGAATGAGAGAAGCTTTCTATAGGCAGAATTTGGCAGATATGGATATGTATCTGGTGGGGGTAGCATGCACTCATCACCATTGAAATATACTTTCCTTGGAAACGCCCATCCCTGCTTGAAAGTGAAAGTGTTTTTGTCCTTCTGAAGAAGCACTTCAGACTGAACATTTCCTAATGGCCCTGCTTCCATTAGCAGGTCATTATAGAATTTCATTCCATAGAACATTCCTGTGTCATCTGCATATTAAAAGTGACAGAATTGTTAAACCACTATCATTTAACAGATGTCCTGAAGTTTGAAGGATGCAAACAAAATTCTGGGAACTTACTTATAGATTCATAGGGAAGGAGAGGCTTGTAATTAAAGCTGAAAACTTGTGTCACATTGTTTAGATTCGGATGCTGGACGGCAAGACTCCACAGTGTATAGTTCATCCGATAGTTGAAATTTGTAATCGAAATCTTCACTCTCCAGTAGTCCTTGTAATTGAGCTTGACATGCCAGTGCACTCTCACAGGACACATGTGGTGCGTGCATTGTAACAATGGAGTGTTATCCTTTCTCGGTGTGTTTATTCCCACCATGTTCAGAATTTTCGAATCACTCCTGCATCACCATAATTCATCAGTCGAGTTAACCTGTCTTGCAGACTGATAAAGAGAAGTTGAATTGAAGATATTGAAGATAATGGCATACTTGACACAAGAATTTTTGTTCTGGCAACCGCATGCACAAGTAGGACAAGGAGTGATTGTTTCATTGTAGAAAGATGAGAAAGAGACACAACAACTTGGGTTTTTCCTGGCTAGAAACTGCGAATAAGTGCAGGTCACATTCCATGTCACTGTAGACAACACAACAACTAAGATGATTAGCCAGTGTAATTGAATCACTAGGATGAGATTTAAATCATGTAAAGCAACAGAACTTACTCAGGGCCTGAGTCTTTCGGCGGCGATCAGCTGTGAGGAAATTGGTGGAAGGAACAACTCTGGCTGGGCCACAAGTGTACCCTGGTCCTGGACCCAATAAAGTGAAGTTCTTGGGAAGTTTTACTGTCTTGTTTGAAGTACCAGCTAAGCCAACACTCACCTGGAAAGCTGAGATAGCAGATTCAGGATCTTGGCCCCATGATGACACAACTCCACCTTTGCAGCAGTTGGCGTATTGTTGATTGTAAGGGACACCAGGAAGCAAGTCCACAACTGTGGGATTCCTCTTGCAACAATGAGGAATGTTCCCTTTGAACTTGGAGCAGTCACCTTGTTCAGTGGTTTGCGCCCCCACCATCGACCATATCACTTCTTTCTTTGCCCATGTCCATCCTAAGGTCCAGCCAGGGCTTATGATGTGCCGGTACATTTGGAAATTGTGCATTGTTACCGTAGCCTGGAAAAGTTAATTTCACAACAAAATTTACAAATCTTAGCAAAATACTGCCAAGCTAAACTTAGATATCTTGATTATATGAGCTCATTGAACCATTTTGTTCAAGTATGATTTGAGACAGTACTCACCACATAACCATCCGCTGTCCAGGACATGATATCCCATTTAATTGTTATGTTTCCATTTGGATCCAAGGGATCATATGCAGCTGCAATATTCACAAAACAATAACAACATCAGATAAACATGCAAGGGAGAGGTAAGAGCCAAGTTAATCAAGAGTATAAAAATCTAGGAGAAAAACTGTACCTCCATAAGAAAATAGCATGAGAAAGAAGCAAGCTGAGATGATAAATCTCATCTCTGCTGCCATGTAATACCGTCGTTTAAACGATAATGGAATATATTAATCTGAAGCAACTATGGTAGAATTTGTTTGCAGATTTCTTGAATTTAAAGTCCTCACTTAGAGTTGTTTAGCAACGAAATGTAATGGGGTACAAGTGAATATGATGGGCTATATATGTTTGTGTACAAGAAAGCTAAGAGATTTGTACCAAATAAATCTTCTAGAGCCTAGAGATGGCTTACCTACTAGTTGTTACATACCTGTAAAATTTTCTTTCATCTCATTGCTTTGTGTCAGCTTCCCATATCTTGAAGCAATGACTTGTTGAGAATAACATGGAGACTTTAACTGTCATATGAGCACTACATCTCAGCGAAACTCCTGCTTGAAGGGGACACTGTCACACTGACAGGTTGAAAATTTGGCGGTTTACAGATTTCCTTCTATTAATCTATCTTTCCTTAAAGTTTTTCACTCATTTAATCATTAAGAATCACACGATTAAGGCAATTAAAGAAGGTGACACTACATTAAATTTTTTTCCTTATTTGATCATAGAAATATGCTTTTGAATTACTCCTCTGGACCTCTTCTTAATTTGGAATACATGGGAAGATGTCTTTCAAGAACTTCTTACAGAAACATGATGGTACTGAAGATCTTGTTTGGTAACATCTTTAAATGGGTTAATATCATATGATCTCAAAGTTGCCATCCATGGAGAAAGGGCATGATTCAGTTTGAATGAAAAGCAAACTGGTAGCTTCCTTGTAACTGTATGTAGATGTTGCCAACTAACTTAATTTCTAGTTTCTTGTATGAACAAAAGTAGGGTTTATTATTATTATTATTGTCCACGTTTATGTTGAGCGATGATGTGTAGGGAAAGAGTTGTAGAGAAGTAAACAGTGGTGTGGGACAAGTAGTGAGTCGCATTCTACTACAAAGACATTTCATCTCATTTCCAGCTAATTAATTGCCCCCATGCTTCTACACTCAAGTTCCTTACATAATCTTTTACATATATATATAATGTTCTTCTTGCAGTCTTTGGCGTTTGGTCTGGAAATCTCTTCGGTTTCTCACTCAAATAAGACTACGTACCTAAATATATTATTGCTTAAGTTCACATCATAGATTTTGTATAAGATTTCAGACAAAGGCCACATTGCGTGCATAGTTATTTGATCGATTAAAGTCGTCTTAACTGTATCTCTGCAATTCTCACTCACATTTTCTCAATTCTATGTGGGATTTTTGCTCAGAGAAGCTGATTTAAATAAATACAGGCTAACCTAATTTTCAAATTTAATTGGATTTAAAGTGAAGCAATGACTGTCTTCTCTTGTGTTGTGTGTGAACATTAAACAATCCTAAAACAGATGGTGCCCATATAATTTCTACTTTCCATACAGCTACGTGCATGACATTGCTTCAAGCTACTGCAAATAAAAGAAAGATGATCAATTATCAGCTACCTCCTTCAAATGTTCATTCGTGTTTGAGCCTAGATGGTTATACGCTTGTATCTGCAAACGGAACCACTGGCCCAGCTAACTAGGGGCTGGACCGAACTGGGCTGGGTTGGGTTCAATTTATGTGAAAGATGTTACTGAACAGTGTTGTTTTTTCTTTTTTCTAAATATTAATTTGTCATATTTTTTAAGAGTACACGTCTTTTTCCCAACCAAGGTTGCCTTAATGACACTTTTTACCTAAAAAGTTTCAAAATATCACTTTCCCACCCAAAGTTAATATTCCGTTACTATCCAAAGTCGATTCCAATGGCGAAAATTCTCTCCTTACCACCATTTGAACCTCTGGTCCCCTCTCTACAAAACCTCTTGTCGATTGCTGACCAATACAAAGTTATAGTTTTTTTTTCTTAGTTGATTTGTGGTTGATTCCGATAGCGAATATTCAATCGGTCACTACTATTCGACCTACGGGCTTCTACTCTATAAAACCCCTCTTAGCTTGACTCTTGGTAATTTGTCGAACGCCGATTGAGAAAGTGAAGTATATTTTGAGTATTAATAGAATATAGACTTTGGGTAGAGAAGTGGTATTTTGAAATATTTTTGGTGGGAAAGTGTTATTAAAGCAAACCTTGGGTGGGAAAAAGTCGTTTACTCTACTTTTTAATCACCGTTGAAGAAATCAAGGTAACACATTGTTATGTAGTTGGGCCTGGGTGACTCTTGGCAAGTTTGCAATAATAACCTTAGAGAAGAATGTCATAATCTGAAGATACTTCTAACGAACTTCCTGATACAAATTTTCTTAGTCATTATCATTACCAAAGAAAGCTCTCTTATTGGATGAGTTCCAAGAGACTTTGAACATTCTTCTAATCAAGATAAAGCTAAAAACTTGTCAGCTGTTGCTTATCGGGTCTTTTGAAAAGTTACCGAAGTTAAAGAAACAAGAGGCCAGGCCCCTGGTTTTGAGTTCAAGTCAAAGGTTTGATCCCTCTTGCAGCCCACTGAAAAAACCTTGGTCTTCCATCTCTGGCAGGCCTTTTCGCAAACGTTGTAATTATATATATACCCAACAGCACAAACATATAACGTACGGAGAAATTTTATATTATAAAGTCTGCTACCTTAATTCAGAAACAAGAAAACTTTGCCATGGGGCGTTGGATGAAGCCAGAGGTAAGCTTAGCAGTTAAACCCACTTAGTCTAATCAATGTTTATTTGATATTAAGTTCTAATTATAATGTTTATTTGGTGATGATTGAATCAGATTTATCCTCTCTTGGGCGCCATGACATTTGTGACCAGTATGTGCATCTTTCAGCTTACCAGAAACATGTTGTTAAATCCGGATGTCAAGTAAATAAATTCGTATACTTTTAAGTTAATTTTTGAAGCAGTTTTGAGCCGAAATTTGATTGACCCTTTTTTGTGATTTTGCAGAATAAACAAGGCTCATCGTACCATGGGAGTGCTTGAGAATCAAGAGGAAGGAGAAAAGTATGCAGAGCATGGCCTGCGAAAGTTCCTCAGAACCCGCCGTCCTGAAATTATGCCTTCAATAAATCACTTCTTCTCCGAAGATAAATGAATATTATGTTTATTATGGAACATTCTGGACAGTTTATCATCAACTTTGTAATATCATTGGTTTAACAAATCTTAGTTGTTTTGTTTCAAAGATTATAGTAATTAAAGTCCCGCAGTTTTATCCAATCCTGTTCTGTAAAAACATGTTCTATATAAGTGTTCCATTTCTAGCTGGCATGTAACTGTTCACAACTTGCCACCAATAATTCTCACGGTTCTAATCCCGTAACACTCTAGTATAATTATATACACAACAATAGAAGAACACAACTAAAATTTATATAAACTTCTGCCATAATCATGTAATTAGAAGATAACTTCGCAATAATGGGGCGTTGGCTGAGACCAGAGGTAAACTTTTCAACTAAACTAAATATGAGTATGAGATGAAATGAAATGACTAAAAATTCATGCAATTTCTTTAATGTTGATCGGGTTTATCCACTCCTGGCTTGCTTAACCTTTCTAGCTGGCATTGGCATCTTTCAGATGGGAAGGGACATGGTGCTAAATCCTGAAGTTAGGTAATAAGTTTCCCAGAAATTAAAAAAAACAAAAAACCCATTGACGAAAATTGCTTTCAAGTTAATATCTGAAGGCTAAAATTGGGGGGAACCTTTTGTTATTTTTGCAGAGTGAACCAGACAAATCGTGGAACGGCAGTGCGAGAAAACCATGTAGAAGGTGAAAAGTACGCGGACCATAGATTCCGGAAGTTCCTTCGTAGTCGCCGTCCTGAAGTTATGCCTAATTTAAATCGCTTCTTCTCTAAAGATCAAAAGATAATTGATCACCATTTATGATAATTTTCTCAAAGAGCTTGACAAAATAAATACCATGTTTTTCTTTATGATATGTAATTTGACTCCTTTTTTTTACACGATTATTATGTAACTATGCAATTTGTTTCACATATCTTACTTCTTTCTAATAATATTTTCATTAATTACGTGTTTGATAATTATGCTAAAAACGCTTTTACTATAATTATTAATTAATGATTCAGGATTGAGTGTCATGTTATATTTAGATTCAATACTTCCCATGATATTTGATTTCCTCGTGTTAATTCTCCATCTCTGTTTGTTTGTAATGTAAGTTTAATGGAGTATCCTCAGTTTTCTGATCTCAGCTAATTAAAACTGAGAAAACCCTCCAATCATCTATTAATTTACATTTGGAAAATGAACCAATCTTTTTGCAACATGACTCCTTCTCGCTACCTCCTTCCCATTATACTTTCAGTTTTGTTCACCACTGCAGCTGCCGGCTGCAACAATGGAAAGTGCAAGGTTAGTGTCTTTCTCATCAAGTCATTTCAAACAAGGTAATGCATAAATTAATTTTCTTTAATTTTGAATGTAGCTGAAAGAGGAATGCTCGTCGGATGGAGATTGTGAGGGTGGACTCCATTGTATTTCTTGCTATGTAGAATATTATTCGAGTTCAATATGTGTAAGATCGAGCCTTACTCCCCATTACAAGCATGTAAATAACTCTCCATCTTCAGGAAACATTAATGATTCTTTTGATTAATGGAAGAATTAGATTCATGATTCTTTTGTTAATTTCATCGGTTTTTTATTATAGAATTATTCTAAACCTTTCAACAAGTATGCCTTCTTGACTACCCACAATTCTTATGCCATTGAAGGAGAGCCATCTCGCACAGGACATACTCGACTCACCCCGACTAATCAAGAAGATAGTATCACTAAACAGCTTAAAGTATATCGTACTATTTCAATTCTTTAGGGTCATTTTGGCTAGAAAAGAAAGAAAACTTATTATCAGAATTAATCGACTGATGTTCATGTTGTAGAATGGAGTTCGAGCCCTTATGTTAGACCCTTATGATTTCAGAGGAGATGTATGGTTGTGTCACGGACTTGAAGGAATATGCCAAAACTATACTGCATTTGTATGACAATTCTTTTCTTCCCTACTGATTTTAGACTAACTAATTAAGTATTATACATCCTCTCTAATTCCTCATATCTGCATCTGAAAGAAACCAGCAGTGGAAACATTGAAGGAGATTGAATCTTTTTTGTC